ATAGGAAAGCCAATGACCTCTATCTGTCAAATGTCGCTTGAAAAGTACGGTTTGCAAAAAAAATCGGAACACTTTTTTAGTACTCAGCTAATTCTAGAATAAAAATCAAACCTTTTTAAACAAACAATAAAAACGGCGGTAATGCAGAGATAAGCGGAATTGAAGAGCTAGATTCCGATTAATGTTTTTTTCTCAGACAGTCTTAATAAAGAAATATTATTAAAAATCGGTTGTTTTTTTCTATATATCTATACTTATAATAAATCTGTAGAGAGGTCAATTCTGTACATGAAATATATTTTCAAAATAACTATCAGGGGGTGATAAGTGATCGATACTGATGCCAAAAATGCAATCAGTAAAATTTTTGTCTGTCTGTCTGTCTGTCTGTGTGTATGTTCCTTATAGAAACAAAAACTACTCGACGGATTTTAACTAAACTAGGTACAATTATTCTTCATACTCCTGGGCAGGTTATAGTATACTTTTCATCACGCTACAATCAATAGCAGCAGAGTAGTGAAGGGAAATGTTGGGAAAACGGGAGAAGTTACTCCATTTTTTAAGCTTCCGTCGCGTGTGCAGCCTTAATGGTTAAAGTTACATAGAAATCATGTATGACGGAAATATTCTACATAAAATTTTCTAGAAAATATCCCGCAACAGCGTATGTCTATCTTTTATGGTTGACTCACAATAACACGTGTAACTCCTGATAGCTTAGCAGTTCGGAGCATTCTGATTATATTTGTTTACTCTTACGTTTATAATACTCTCACTCATCCATAATTTAAAAAAGTTAACATTATTACCTATTCAATAAAAAAAAGAATCATAGAAATCGGTATAGAAACACCAAACTTAAACATGAAATAAGCCATCGTGCCGTCGCACGTGAATACTGAATCATGCTTTAAGGATTATTTTTGTGTAACGGCTGCCGCGCTCGACACGGGTCGTGGCGGCGCGGTAGGGTATAAAAAGGCGGGAGGTCCGAAAGCGAGCTTCCCCGCCCCCCCGATCCTGAGAGACCTTCAGTCGCTCAGTCCCAAACCGATACGGATGCACATCAGGATGCATCCGTCCTCTAAGCGCACTATGCAGTAGTATTTACTAAGGCAGCGCTGCATCATCCCCTTCTCAGGGGTTGATCGCATCAGATGAAGCCTGTAAGGCCATAGGCACCCCCCACGGGTGTGTTTTAGTCAGTAAGAGTCTGACATAACTCTACAGCCGGCTGTAGGATATCCATGAGGATTTCACACCCGCTCCCCCGCCTGGGAGGAAACAAAAAAAAGAGAAAGCGAGCTTCATTCAATATTTGGCTGTTGATGCGTTCAGAGCGTTCGACCTTATTGACAGACAATAATTGATATTGAGAAACCGTGCTTATCTTAGAATAAAAACCAAACATTTGTAAACAAAATTAGCAAATAAATCATGTAAAACGTGTAGAAAATGAGTACTGGAAAACGGAAATATGAGAATTTTAGTTTGGTTATAAATACAGGTAACAAAAATGACCGTTATTATCTATATATGTATATAAAAGTCAAAGGTGACTGACTGACATAGTGATTTATCAACACACAGCCCAAACTACTGGACGGATCGGGCTGAAATTTGGCATGCAGGTAGATGTTATGACGTAGGCATCCGCTAAGAAAGGATTTTGATCAATTCTACCCCCAAGGGGATAAAATAGGGAATGAAAGTTTGTATGAAACTTTGTCAATTTTAAACCGATCGGGCTGAGACTTTGCATGCAGGTATAAGAAGAATCATAGATGAATGTCATTGTGTATAATACAAGCCTGACAACAAAAACTGTAGTCTATACTTCAGCTCTACACCGAAGCGAAGCGAGGGCGGACCGCTAGTAGTAAATAAATTTTATTAAAAAATCTGATCTTTTTTCTCACTTCATCTTAGTAAACAAGTTTCTATTAAATAGAAACTTTTTTTTTGCTCACTCTACCTATTTGGTTTGAATTGACAGCTATGACGTCAAAATATGGCGCCCAGTCGCGCCTATTCTTAGTTGGATCGCATTATACGGCATAGCGGGTTTACCGTTCGAATGGAAAGTGACTTCATGAGTTATCTCATATTGAAGTCATTTTTCAAATTGACGACTCTGTATATAATACATGGAGAAAAAAAACAGCCCTTGCTGAGTTTCTTGTCGGTTCTTCTCAATACAAGGTCTTCCGCCGTAGATTTGCGAACCGATGGCGTAGCTTTTCGATATTCACAAGTGCTTGTAACAGCCTAGACTGAATAAACGATATTGAATTTTGAATTTTGAATTTTTTGAATTGGAGCGCCTGTCTGAGACCACTGCAGTAAAATAACACTGCCTTTTGGTGGTGTTGTGTTTCTGTCGGTGAGTAAGGTTCCAGGACTCCACGGGGTGGGGGGTTGGGTCAGGGTAGGCAACGGTGCGAGTTATATTTTTGGTATCGCAAGCGTCCATAGGCTATGGTGACCACTTACCATCAACCGGGCTATGTGCTTCTTTGCCATCCTTTTAACATAAAAAACTGCCATTTTTATTCATTTACTAATTGAGTACACACACAATAAGACAAATACGACCTCCGGGGACGTCTGTTAAGCTAGCATGGCAAAGTGAGCAGAATCGTTTAAAATAAAGTGCATCAATTAGTGCTTATTTAGTGCTAATTTAGTGCCAAAACCGGAAATTTAATGCTTTCATAGTTTAGCGAAAAATTAGAACACTGCCAGCTTTTAATTAAGCTAGCAGTGTATTCCCTGAAACGCCTATATTAACGCGGTATAGAACTAAAGCAATGTATAGGGAATTTAGTGCTTAATGAGTGCTGGCAGTATCTGATGAAAATTTTGGAAAATAAAAAATATTTTATTTTTTATCAATAAAAACTGCTAGTATGACAGTCTGAGCAAGTGACTGGGTTGAATACATCACTCTGGATCGAAGATCTATGATAATCAACGGTTACTAATTTAGTGCTCAATGAGTGCTGCCAGTATGTGATAAAAAATTAGGAAATTTTATTTTTTAAATTTTTTTATCAATATAAACTGCTAGTACGACAGTCTGAGTAAGTGACCGGGTTGAATACATCACTCTGGATCGAAGATTTATGATAGTCAATGGTTGATAATTTAGTGCTCAATGAGTGCTGCCAGTATGTGATAAAAAATAACGAAATTTTAATTTTTTAAATTTTTATCAATATAAACTGCTAGTATGGCAGTCTGAGCAAGTGACTGGGTTGAATACATCGCTCAGAATCGAAGATTTATGATAGTCAACGGTTAATAATTTAGTGCTCATCGAGTGCTGCCAGTATGTGACAAAACATTTGGATTTTTTTATTTTTTTATCAAAATAAACTGCTAGTATGACAGTCTGAGCAAGTAACTGGGTTGAATACATCACTACGGATCGAATATGTATGATAATCAACGGTTAATAATTTAATGCTTAATGAGTGCTGGCAGTATGTAATAAAAAAAAATAGAAAAAAACAAAATATTTTATTTTTTAGCAAATGAAACTGCTAGTATGGCAGTATGAGCAAGTCACCGGGTTGAATACATCACTCTGGATCGAAGATCTATGATAATCAACGGTTAATAATTTAGTGCTCAATGAGTGCTAACAGAATGTGATAAAAAATTACGATATTTTATTTTTTTAAATTTCTTATCAATATAAACTGCTAGTATGACAGTCTGAGCAAGTGACCGGGTTGAATACATCACTCTGGATCGAAGATTTATGATAGTCAACGGTTAATAATTTAGTGCTCAATGAGTGCTGCCAGTATGTGATATAACATTTGGATTTTTTTATTTTTTATTAATAAAAACTGCTAGTTTGACAGTCGGAGTAAGTGATCGGGTTGAATACATCACTCTTGATCGAAGATTTATGATAGTCAACGGTTAATAATTTAGTTCTTAATGAGTGCTGCCAGTATGTGATAAAAAATAACGAAATTTTAATTTTTTATCAATATAAACTGCTAGTATGACAGTCTGAGCAAGTGACAGGGTTGAATACATCACTCTATACAGAGCACTCATTGAGCACTAAATTATTAACCGTTGATTATCATAGATCTTCGATCCAGAGTGATGTATTCAACCCGGCCACTTGCTCAGACTGTCATACTAGCAGTTTATATTGATAAAAAATTAAAAAAAATAAAATTTCCTAATTTTTTATCAAATACTGGCAGCACTCATTGAGCACTAAATTATTAACCGTTAATTATCATAGATCTTCGATCCAGAGTGATGTATTCAACCCTGTCACTTGCTCAGACTGTCATACTAGCAGTTTATATTGATAAAAATTTAAAAAAATTAAAATTTCGTTATTTTTATCACATACTGGCAGCACTCATTGAGCACTAAATTATTAACCGTTGACTATCATAAATCTTCGATCCAGAGTGATGTATTCAACCCTGTCACTTGCTCTGACTGTCAAACTAGCAGTTTTTATTAATAAAAAATAAAAAAATCCGAATGTTTTATCACATGCTGGCAGCACTCATTGAGCACTAAATTATTAACCGTTGATTATCATAGATCTTCGATCCAGAGTGATGTATTCAACCAGGTGACTTGCTCAGACTGCCATACTAGCAGTTTCATTTGCTAAAAAATAAAATATTTTGTTTTTTTCTAATTTTTTTTATCACATACTGCCAGCACTCATTGAGCATTAAATTATTAACCGTTGATTATCATATATATTCGATCCGGAGTGATGTATTCAACCCGGTTACTTGCTCAGACTGTCATACTAGCAGTTTATATTGATAAAAATTTAAAAAAATAAATTTTCGTTATTTTTTATCACATACTGGCAGCACTCATTGAGCACTAAATTATTAACCGTTGATTATCATAGATCTTCGATCCAGAGTGATGTATTCAACCCTGTCACTTGCTCAGACTGTCAAACTAGCAGTTTTTATTGATAGAAAATAAAATATGTGGGTTAAAAACAACCAAATGGCAAAATCTTTCTTATGGTTGTTGGTAAAGAAAAAAAATAAAAAAGATAAAATTTGAAATAGATAAAAATAATTGTAATTACACAAACACATTAATAATCTCTTTGTAATTACTAACTATAGACGATTCGATCAATTTATTTACCACAAACTTTACATAAACAAAGCATAGGTAATTATCCTAAAACCGTGTTCACAAAAAGAAAATTAAGCAATCTCTTAACTCAATTCTCACATTCATCTGCTGTTTTTTACAAAAAATAATAGTAAAGATACTGTATTTACTACTTATATTATTGTAAGCGATATAACAACAAAGTTAGTGGTAAGAGTACCAATCAGCAATGCAATCAGATAATGCAATCAGCAATAGAGATTGCTTGATCTTACTTAGTCCAATATCACCTTGAATAAACTTATTACGTCTCTACCTAGTTAATTAAATGAAAGAACTTTTCTAATTTTTCAACCCTTAAATTTAAGCTTTTGTACAAAATTTAAACCTATAGTATATATTTTACAAAACATAAATTATAATCTATTCATTACCATAATTTTCCTACCACAAACCAAACAGAACCATTAATTGTAGTGGCTTAAATTAAAAAATTGCTGACAACTAGCGACATCTGTTGTTAAATAGAAAACGTATTTATTTTTTCTTATAATATTAATAGTTGCTGTGACACTTTTTCAAGTTTTACTTGATTCATTCCAAGCTGTTTTTTCGTATAATACTTAGATAAAATAAAAATAGAATAACATTTGAAAATATTTACATTTCTTAGTAACTTATACACTTAGCGTCATCTAGCGTTCAGTAGCTAATCGTTGCGGTTGATTCTGCAAAGTTAACTGCTGTTCCTCTTTTATAATATCCGCTAGATGGCGTACTGCAATGTCCATGTCTTCGTAACTAATTCTACTAAACGTCAGTCTTACATATTGGCAAGGGGCTGATGTATCATACGAAAAAGCTTGACCTGGCACTACCATTAATCCACGCTGGAATGCTGTACGGAATACCTGATAAAAGAAAAAAGCTATTGTTACTTCTAATATAATATAATAAAATTTGATAAGCGCCATCTATGTAAAAGGCTAAGACTCAGCGCGTTTGGTCTGCAATCGTGGAATTTAAGCAACTTTCGCAAAGGATGGGTGACCTTATTTTATTACATAATATTTCTCACTCATCTGCTCCTCGGCAGGCACTTTAAAGCCTTGATTTCAGCTGTAACTGCAGTTGTTAGCGCGCACCAATCCACAATATGCCCGCGTGGTTGCTCATGGTCCATTGTTCCTATTCCATTCATAGGGAAGACCACACACTAGGGCACTGGGGGGCTGGGGCACACCCCAGCAGTGAAGGAATGGTGTGTCGGAAAAAAATATTGGACGATCCAAAGGAGCTTTCAATAAGTCAATATGAATAAAGTATATTTTCATTTCCTTTCATTAAAATAAAATCAGCGCCATCTATGAAAAAAGCACGCGTACCATATTGTAGATATCCTCCACGCCCCTCACTCGGAGCCAGAAGAACAAGCCTGCTTGAGGCAAACTCCAGTCGGCCAGGTCTGTGACCCCCTGCACAGCTATGGATAAAGCATCGCGACGTCGCCGATAGAGATCGCGGCCGGCTTTGAGGTGTGAGGCTAAAGAATCCCGGTGGCTAATTATGTGATGTAGGATCATCTGAACAAACATAAAATAAAATAAAGTCATTTTAAGCGATTTGAAAAATAAGTTTGCCGTTAAAGTGGAATAAAGTGGTGGATTGAGGTAAAACGGAGTGATTAGATAAGTCTTGCTCAGTGGATTGAGATGAGGAGTTAATAATATAAGATCCCGTTGGGCTAATCATGGTAATGTAGAGTAAGTAGCTGAACAAAAAACAGAGAGAAAAAGAAGTTATTTCAAGATAGTTTATGTGGACTAAAAAAAAACTTTATAAAAGCTTAGTGCGTTCAATCGAACAAACACTCTCAGCTTTATATAATATTAGTCGACCAATAATGCAAAGATTTACCAATTTAACAAAACTCTATAATTTGGCTCAACGTATTCTTCCTTATTATTAGATCATTAAGAGCCCTTTACACGATGCAGGTTTCCTGCACATACAAGAACAATAATTGCATACAATTAATGAGGCGCAATAATTGACTTTCAATAATTGTAAGCAACTGTTTATACGCGGACATAATAAAAAGGTTACATACAATTATTAAATGGCAGTTTTGACAAAAAAAATATTGCAAATGTGTTTAGTTTACACCAATACAATTATTGTAAGGAGATATAATAATATATAATATAATATATAATAATTCATTGAGGAGCTCGATGGCGCAAGTGGTTAGCACGTTCGGCTGCGATCGTTGAAATTAAGCAACTTTGTCAACAACGGTAACGGTCGGTGATTGGATGGGTGACCAAAAATTTACTATCTCGAGCTCCTCCGTGCTTCGGAAGGCACGTTAAGCCGTTGCTCCCAGCTGCATCTGCAGTCGTTAGCACCCACCAATCCGCACTGGGGTCGCGTGGTGGGTCATGGCCCAATCTCCCTATTCCATCCTTAGGGAAGGCCTGTGCCCCAGCAGTGGGGACATTAATAGGCTGATGATGATTGACATATATAAACACAGACTTGTATGTGCGTATACCATTTATTTGACAGTTGCTTCAAGAATTGCACGTATTTGCGTGGGCGAATATTTCATTCAAGTGTTGAACGTTTTAGATCTGGGTTTATTTATTAACAATACTATGATCCAAGAAGTAGTCAAAATCGGTTCTGCTGATTTAATTAAGTACATTGAAATCTATTGTAATCGTGAGTGTTTATGGGACCCTGAAAGTTGGAATTACAAGAATTTTGATGCACGTAATGCTGCAGTAATTGTTTGCAATTTGCTCAGGAATTTGGAGTTGATGGATTTGGAACTAAGAATTAATAAACAAAAATGCGTGACATTACGTTGGAACGTAATAGGAGATTATTTATTAAGGGAGGAAATAATAATTTAAATGGCTAGAGTGTTTTTTGAATCTATTGTTGGATTTTGTAGATAAACGACTGTATCACATTTTTTAGCATACATTCATTCTTACGACACGAAGAAGACATACTTAGTTTTTTTATAGTTCCAAATTTGAGTATCTATTAAACAGATGAACGAAGGCAAAATATATTTGTATTGTTTCTTACTTTTTTTGGAACTAAAACGATATTTTGGTCCCTAGGAATTAAAAAGCTATTTTGACCCCTAGGGATTAGAACACTATTTAGGTCCCTAGGAGTTAAAATGCTATGTTGATCCCTGTAAATAGAGAAGAAACTAGCTTTTCGAATAGATGTGATAAAAAATATTTATAAAACCCACCAATCCGCACTGGGCCCATACCGCTAACCGAAAATGAGCTTAGTTCCAATAAAAAAATTAAGCACGCATCATGGCGATAGGAAAAAGATAGCATGGGCACCGTTCCGGTACTTATAATGTTTGCAAGTCCAAAATTTTTTGGTATAATTTCTTTTTTACAACGTTTTTTCAATATTTCTTGGCTCAGCAGAGCAGCAACAATTAACACACCATCACTTAATGCACTCATCTTAAGAAATTATTGTATGTGCTGTTTACACTAAGAGAAGTTTTGAAGCAAAACTTGTATACCACATCAAGAATGTTATGTACTGTTTACACCATAAAAGTCATTTATTGCTTAAATTTAATTGTATGCCACAGGCAAGAAACATGCATCGTGTAACTGGCGCTTTAAATTATATTAAAATCTTTTGAAACGATTAGATTGCAATATTTTATATCACTTAAGCTTTCACTGGCGCTTTGAGTGAGAAAAAGCTCTCTACCTCTTAACTTTGTTATCTCTTCTTGAAATTACTTTAATGTTGTTTATAATTAAAATTATTCTTGAAATGTTTTCAATTGTGCCTAATATTTTTATTATTACTTTTATCTGACATTTGACTTGGCCGAAATTTTATTTGACGATTATATTATTTCTTTTGTTTAATAACATTATCAAAGTTGATTAAACAGTTTAAATTTACGGACGTTATTTTGTTTAGACAGATTTTTTATGCTTCTGTGATGCATAACTTGTTTAGTAATACCTATATCAAATTATGGGTGTACTGCCCTTTGGAATAAACAGTTTTGCCCAGTGCGAACAGAATTTTCTTCGAATTGCACTACCCAAAAAATGGGTGCGTGTACTTATGTAGGCGCGTGAGAAGTTATCCTTCTTTGGCATCGTTTAAAATTAGTTTTTAATTGCATGCAAATAATTAATTACAATAAATTAATAAAAAGTCTGGAAAAGGACACAGTCAATAAAGTTCAGTTTTAATTTGAAAAAATAAATAAATAATCAAAATATTCAATTAAAATCGCTACTGAATATAATTTATTAGAACATAAGTGATTTGCACTTGTATGAAACCCAAACACGTATTCCGAATATACAAACTAGAAACATGTGGATAAATATTATAAATATGAATACCTATAACTGTTACTTTATTACAAAAAATAAAGATGTGGTTTTTGGTTCTACTACACCAATGGTCAAGAGATGGCGCTGTAGTCTCCTGAATCGCGCTTTGGTTCCGTTGTTCCAGATTAATAAATACTTTTGATAGGCCTTCACAATGCAGTCGTTAGCACCCACTAAATAGAGATTCTATTTCTATTTTGTTGGTAAATTTTCTTAATGTGCGGTAAACACAAAAGTAACAGCATGAAGTTGGTCGCTTTAAAATTTTGTGTTACAGTGATGCGCATCTTAAAATTTCACTCTCATTCTTTTTTCATAACGCGCCTAAAGAAGTATAACTTCAAAAACTTATCGCATTATTTTGATTCCCCAAACGAATCTTTAGCATTTTGCACTTTAATGCCATTTCATATGGCATAATTTAGCTTTGTCAAGTTTTAACTAAGCCGAAGAGTATGTTTTGCCAAACGATACATTTGAGTAAATAATATTTTGTTAAAATGAAACATGACCAAAAAAGTTTCGATAACTTAAAAATTGCAATAACTGATATAACAAAAGTTTTTTTTGCCAAATAAAAAAGCGTAAAATAGTTAGCGATACAATATTTAGGAAAAAGTTTCTGACCCACCATACATTACTTATCCCTAATTCTTTTTTTTACACATATCATCACATTGAAAATAGATTTAAGTATATTATTTTACAAGTATGTAATTATTTATCCAAAAAATAGACTAATATTTCTCTTGGGTCATTATTATTAGAAGTGTGTTCCATCATCACACATTTTTTTAACATTACAAAACTTAAAGAGAGGTAGGACGGAAAATGCGAAGAGATGGCGCTGCCTTGCAGCCTAAGAAATACTAGAAAAAATTCGACACGACCGTCAGGGCCGCGGTAGCATAATGGGTCAGTACACCCGCCGGGATAGCGAACGGTGCGTGTTCGAATCCCAGCTGCTGCTCGGCCCGCGTGGATTTTTTTCTTGAAAAAATCTTTAGATTTAAACATCCAGCAGTTTAATGCTTAAACAATTAAAATATAACTTGTATAATCCTCACCTGTGACAGCGTGCAGCTGTGAAGCAGTTCCGTCTGCATGTGCAGCTCCAGTTTCTGCTGCACGACCTTCGGGGCGGTCACCCATCCCGCCCGTAACCCAGCGCTGACCACCTTCGATAGGGAATCTATGCGGATCACTCGACCGCAAGTGTCGAGAGAGAGGAATGTGGGGACGTTTGTCTGTAAATAAAAAACTCAGTTATTAAAAAAAATAAGTTCCGTGGTAGGGTAAAAGAAGGTATGCTTGATTTGAATCGTCCGTCTGGGTAAGTTTCGGAAGATCACAGTAAAATGCCAATACCAATCAAATAGATTTGTTTCTTACTTTTCTTTGTTTTTTAAGAGGTGAAAAATATTGACTCTGCCGTGCCTTTACATTTTTGAATGCGCTGTCTTTGTATAAAGTAATATTAAAATATTTAAGGCCAGAACTCTAATACGTAATATTGGAAAACTTTGCGTAGTCCCCTGTAATACGGCACTATTTAGGAAAAGTGTGTTTTGCAATGCTGCTTATATTTACAGTAAATTACCTGAAAGTGTGCGAGAAATTACCGTGACCAATATATTTAAAAACAAATTACAACATTTTTTAATAGAAAAATGTTACTATACGGTCCGTGAATTTTTGGAAGACAAAAGTTTTTGACGTGACAACGTCTTAAATTAGGTTGCGGCTGGGAGTCACTTATGAAAAAGTGTAACGCTCGGTAACGTTACGATGAGTCTCTCGTGTTAAGTTTAAGTTTACATGTACAATGTTTTAGTAAACAAAATATATTTCTATAGTTAAAATTTGTGCAATTCTTATTTTCATTCAATTCCTTGTTCCTATTGTGCAATTTAATTATATTCATATCAATAAATATTCTACCGAGAAAAAGACGTTGTCACGTAAAATCTTCGCCCGTAAAACCGACTTTACAGGCAACCATTTTTTTAGACTAAATATAGAAAATGACATGCATGAAATAATTCCAATCTTATATTTATCGCTTATTGACATTTTGAATAAACTATGTTTAATTTATTAATGTCACATTGAAATAATTAATATTTTATAGAAATATTATATTGCATGCTGATAAGGCTGAATATGGCTGTACTGTTTTAAAATGTATCTGTGTAACAACTTTGCAACCTGTATTCGCAATAAAGATGATTTGATTTACGTTTTCACGCACATCACTCATTAAATAAAACTAGTTTTAACGGGTTAATGCACGACTTTATTTATTTATTGAGGTTTCGCAGCCTTTTCAGGTCTTCATCCCCAAACAGTGGAAAAAAAGACAAGACGACTGGACTACTAAAGGACAATGTTAAAATTGGCCTAAGAACCAACAACAATTTGGCATTTATGATAATTCTTAGTATATTTTTTGCGATAATTATCAGTATTTAGATTGTGACAGACACTTCCAGTTAAGTAAGCTAAATTAAAAAGTTAATAAATAATCTGAGACAATAAATATGTGTATAATCTATGACAGCGCTGCAAACAAAACACTCTTTCTTCCTAATGCCGGCACTTCACTTGGCTATTCGTATTTGCTATTTAAAACATGACATCAGTCTGTCCTTTTCGTTCCTTATTAAGCATGACAAGGACAAACTGTTGTCAAGTGAAGGGCCGGCATAAACTCAATACTCTGTGGTTGTGGTGCAGGCAGTTTGCATTCGTAGTAATCTGTGGCATTCGTGCATTCTTCAGTACTTTTTATATACGGAAAATTCTCGTTTCGGATTACCTGTTGTGTGTGTTTATTTACGATTGTTTTTCCTTTAATTTAACTTTTACTATTTCGGCTATCTAATATACGGTTTACAGTTTGTAAATAATTTATATTTATTATATTGGTAATTCAACGCCACTCATCATCTTTTATTTGATGCATGTAAATTATCACGAAAAAACCGAAGTAGTGATATATATATATATATACATATTTTATAACACTTTTTCGTCTATTTTTATTCGGATGAGTTTGATATATTTATAACTTTATTATGACTTGTATTGTTTATTCATTTTTTTTACAGTTTATTATTTTAATGCTGTTTTATTTGAGGCAGTTAAATTTATAATTTTATACGGAGAAATACATATTATATAAATATATAGACATATCGAGGAATATACTATACTATACTAATATACATATCTCATCGATGTAACCAAAAAGCTTATTACCAAGTGCTAGTGAACCTGTGCCACAACATCCTGAGAGGATCATAATGTCAAATTATTCAAAAACACCTAATATACATTCACGCTGCATATTTACACAATATACATGTGTTAAAGAAATAAATACATTATGATACAATTATGTGAAAAATAGCCAATACATAATAAGAAGCAAAACTACAGTTTTTATTTTATTCATGATTCCTACTTCAGCAAGCTTTTCCTAATAGTTACTCTGAAAAAAACCGAATTAGTTGTAATATTAATTCACTTCAAACTGAGTTCTTGCTAAGTTCGTAGGTTGACCTATGTTTCATTGAATATTAAACATAACCTCAAAAAAAATAGTTTTCCTAATAATTTAAGTTCTCAGAAGTGTCCGTCAATAATCTTTGTTTTTACAGTCATTTACTTGCGATTTCGAACCTAGGAAATAATATTTCATGATTATAACAATGTTCTTTACTATCAATATTTTACCAAAAAAATTGTCTTATAACATGTAAATTAATTCAGTTTCTCACCTCATTATAATTCAGGAACACATACGGGTCATCTTCAATAATCAGGAAGTTGAACCTGCACGCCAGCTCGTATATCTTTCTTCTCCTGTCTTCAGGTAACACGGTTCCCGAGGGATTGCTGCCAGTCGGGATGACGTACAGCATCTTGGGCATTTTCATCCCACGGGATAAACGATCGGTGAGCACCAACTCCAGTGTCTCTGGGATCATTCCGTTCTCGTCTTCTGGAATGCCGATGATCTCCGGTCTGTACGGCTTGAGCTGGTATTGAAAAAAAAGCGCTCAAATAACATTCTAGTTTTAAAAATCACTAGCATTAAACTTATTGGCGGGATTGCTTAAACTAAGTTTAAATTGTAGAGTTATAGTAATATATTTACGAGTTATTTACGGGATTGTTACCATGTACCTTTAGTTACTCCGTGATCATGGCGCTTGCAACAGTGCCGAAATATCGGTAACTCGCTAAAAACAAGGTACATGGTAACAATCCCGTAAATCTTTATATATATAATTCTTCTGTGAGTGTGTATGTCACTGAACTTCTCTTAAACGACTGGACCGATTTTGATGAAATTTTTTGTGTGTGTTCAAGGGGATCTGAGAATGGTTTAGATTCACAATTTTGTCCGCTGGACAACCCCTATTTTTTTAGGGCGGTACGAAGTTCGCTGGGTCAGCTAGTAACTTATATTACTATAATGTTAGTGACCATGAAAGTTTAAAACAATAAATAAATTGTAGAGTGTCTGGAATCCAGTGCTTCGTACAAAATTATTGTTGTATGTGCAAAAATCAGAATAATCAAGTGTGTCGTGTCGCGATCCGATACTGTGAGTCTTGTGTGTCGAGAATAGTTTCGAGTGAAAAGTGAGAATGTGTACTGGTATCGATCGCAATAAAAGACTTCGTCGGAGGGTAGACCGATATGTCTGCCAATAGAATCCTACCCGCAATTACTTCAGTTACTCCGTGATCCTGGCGCTTGCAACAGTGATGAAGAAACAAAAGAGAAGCGCATTAACAACAGAAGAATTAACAATGACTGTTGCCTCTCAATACATTTACTTGTATATTGTTTGTGCGTCAAAACCTAAATTTATATACGAGGCGCGATGATGTACATAATTTCAATACCAGAAATAAAGATAAACTGAAATTGCCACCATTGAGACTCCAAAAGGTTCTTGGTTCATTTGTGGGTCAAGGTATATGTTACTATAATAAAATACCAAAAGAAATAATTGATTTACCTTTTAATAAGTTTAAAGTGTGTATAAAAACATGTCTCCTTAAAAAAGGTTACTATACTGTTAAAGATTTCATGAATGATATGGCACCTTGGGTTAAATTTATTAGACTAAGTTGTTTCACTTTGCTTATTTGGTTGAAAATTGTTTAATCGCCACTTCTTAATTTAAAAACAATACCTAGCTATACTTAACTTTTATTAATTAATGTGATGAAAGTTCACATCAACACATGTTTTAAATTTTTGATGTCATCTTTCAATTGACGACTCTGTATGAAACAAAACAGGGAGAAAAAAATAGCCCTTGTTGAGTTTCATGCCGTTTCTTCTCAGTACAAGGTCTCCCGCGGTAGATTTACGAACCGATGGCGTAGCGTTTGACTTTCACAAGAGCTTGTAACAGCCCAGACTGAATAAATGAGTTTGAGTTTGAGAACAACAGAAGATCGGCTTACCGCAACATAAGCTCCCGTGTAAGTGTACTCGGTGGCTATAATCGGGTCTCCTTCTTCAAGTAGCAGATCAAAGCACTGGTATATCCCGTGTTGGCCTCCGTTGGTGACGATGACGTCACGTGGCTGCGGTAGTGGTGGCGGCCTATGCAAGTCTTGTTGGAACGTGCGAAGCTCCGACAGTAAGGATGGCATACTGAAAAGAATTTGAATAATCTTAGATTGGTTTGTCGGCATACTGGAAACCTTATGGATTTGTAAGTTTGGTCTGTAGAAAGGAGAGAAGGACCATAGCGATATACGAGTAGAAGTCAGATTAAGAATATATTTTGTAGGTTAGTATTACCTACCTATTTGTTTAGCAGGTGTATATATATTGAGTTTGTTTTAAAAATAATGATGTAATGTATGTTATTTATGTAGTAAGAAATTTGTTGTCTTTATAATTTAGTTATCATAACTTATCATTTTGTAAATATTTTTAGATGTTTTATATGTTGCTTTGCTGCTTTTTAAATTTGTGTTCACATCATTAAAATTTTGTTTATCAGCATATCTGGACTAGGAGGCAAAGAAGAAAATCGGATTACGCACCGCCTGCTTAAGAGAAAATCGTAAAAGTTTTTTGAAGTGAAAACTTATTTAGCGGCGTTGTACACTTTTTTTGTATGGATAAAAAATGTTAAACTCGCGTGGGCTGATCGCGTCATGACACATGTCCTGATCAGGGATCTGACGAAAACAATAAAATTGGAAAGGTTGTTGACTTTCAATATATTGGACGAAACATAGTTATATTTTATTTTATCGTATTATAATAAAAAGTCTCTATCTCGGAATTCCAGGTGGCAGCTTTATTGCGTAGAAAATGCATTTTTTTACAATAGATGTCGCTAGGTGCGCTTAAACGTGATCCATGTAAGTGGCTTTTTCTGAGGGATAAACTTTTTTAATGTAATATAAATTGTCATGTTTGTGTACGATAGCACAATAAATAAATATTGTATTCTACCACATAAATGAAAGTACTTTTATACTGATAATTAAAGTAATTCGTGCAAAATTATTCCCTAACCATTCCAAAATATCAAAAATGCACAACGTATTCAATTATATTCAAGTTTTCACTTCTGCCGGCACTCCCGGAGTGCCACCCCTCGTTTTTTAATTAATAAGTCATATTAGCAGAGATTATTTAATAGTTACTACGTAAATATTAGTCACCATAATCTAAGTATAGACGCTTGCGATACCAGATTATCACTAGCGATTTCCTAGTAGGCTCACCAGATGGCGCGGAAATGCGGGATTGTCACGGAATTTTATGTCCAGTAATAAGACTTTATTGTCCCGGATTCCGATAATGTGCTAGTTTCGTAACAAAATAAACTAATAACTGGCCTGCTTGATGTTTTAATTTTGGGAGGTGATGGGAGAATGGATTTGATGCTTTATTTTTTCAGGGATTCAGGAATTGATAAGCCAGCATCTAGCAACCCTATTTCTTACCCTGACCCTATAATCTTTTTAAATGTGTAATGTCCTACTTCTCTTAATATGCCTGTAATCACAGAGGCACATTAGTCATATTTTTTTAATATTATTATACCTTATCGGGTATAAACAATGACAAACACAAAATCCAACAAGTTGAATGTCCACTGTTGTTTTTTTTATTCGCAATGTTAAAATTCTTTATGTTATTTTTGTGTTCCAGATGAGACATATTTATTTACTGTGAATAGTTATTTGTTATGCATGGTAGCAATTTCTTTATCGCGAAACCTCAGGAAGCGTAGGATTCTAGGATTTTTTTTTTTTTATGGGACCCATATTTCAGCTGTGCTGCAAACGCCATGATCACGGAGTAACTAAAGTTATTGCGGGGAGATGTTATTGGCAGACATATCGGTCTACCCTCTGACGAAGTCTTTTATTGCGACGAAGCTATGATGCTATGGACCATGAAAGTGTACACAATATATGTTATACAAATATTGAAAAAACAAAATGTTCGTCACTGTTTTGTGTAAGCACTCACCCCTGCGACGGTATGTACTGCAGCGCGGCGGACAGCTCCTTCCCCTCGGTGATGAGACGTCCTCCCCCCTTCAACTCTATGTCTATTCTGGTGAAAGGAAATACGCCTTCGTTGGGCATTCCCTCTGCTAGAGAGATCACATCCTTCCCCACCTTGTAGGCTAGCTTAGCTGGAAGAAACACAGGTCAAATATTACATTAGCTATACATATTTACAAAAGAGGTAGGGCCTTAGATTAAAACAAAAAGGGTAGATACGGTACGCTCATACTAGCATCAAATAAAATATGATCCGACTCAACTACATATGCAACTCTCACACACGCACACGTATGTATATAAACATTCAATCGAGCGAGCGAGACAGAACTATTTATATCAGGATCAACTAGTTTGGCCTAGGCTAAACTGGTTAATCCTATCGGGCTTAGGACAAATTAGTTTGGACTAGGCTATACTAGTTAATCCTATCGCGTATAGGAAGACCTAGTTTAGCCTAGGCAAAACTAGTTTGTCCTGAAATCGGGTTTGGCCGGTAACATATTTATAACATTCACGGCAAACCATGATTTTTGAGAAAAAAATGTTTTTACAGTTTTACGAATGAAAAGTGTTGCCGAGGCATTTATTATTTGATTTTGAACTATTTGTGTTCTTTATAAAAGCATCGAAGGCATTGTTTTATCTTCATAACACAGAATATACGCAATATTGATATATTGTGTGCACATGCAGCGTGTTTGAATGTCCAATTGTGACTAAAGCGAATTATGGTCATGCACCACAATTTAAGCGGATCACTTTTAAGCCGCGAGTGCCGTATCTTCCTTTTTTGTTTTAATCTAAGGGTAGGGCATATTCTCTGCTCGAATTGGAGCGCTCGTCTAGGGAAACAACTGCTACCTTACAGCAGACCACAGGAAAGTAACACTACCTTTTGGCCGTGTTGTGTTTCTGCTGATGCAAAGGGTTTCAGAACTCCGCGGGCCAGGGGATTGGGTCAGGCCGGCAAGGTGATGATGACTGGAGCGGCACAGCTTCTGCCGCATCATCTATTTTCGTGACTGGGCTCCACTTACACTTAAGCCCTTTTACAAAATTCCACCGCCGCCTTACTGATCGGCGCGTAGGTAGATTTATACTAGTAATATTGCATTTTACGGGTGATGTTTCGAGTCTTACAAAATCGTTATTAATGAACTAATTATAAAAATATATAAATATTTTACTAGTTCAATAATGGTAGATTAGTTTTATGGAAGTTTTTGATAGTAATTTTATTTAATTCAATATCAAAATACGGGTAAACCTGCATTGTTTTTTGGGAAAACTCACGGAGGTTAGATTTTTTTTTTGATAATAAATGAGATGGAAAATCAAAATTCTAATACATTATGTTACAACAAAAACATATTTCTGATGTCGTATTAATTAATATGATCTAATTTATTGAACATTATTTCGAGATTCAGGTGTTTGAAGTTGTGCATATTATCGTTTTTTCCGTAAACTAGCTGCAGTAGAACGATCAGTACAAAGAAAGGTACCAGTAAATAGTATTTGCAAATATTCTACATTAACTTACAACAGAAAGAACAAATCTACTGTTCACTTCTATTGGAAATAGTCAAAATCTTTTCTAAGGGGGTAAACGAGGCGCGAAAAAATTATATTAATTATTAATGTGAAAAGGCTCTTAACATCAGGTGGAGTAGTGTACTTTGGTGCACCTCGTAAAAAATGAATATAGAGCTGGGGCCATAATCTACCACGCGGGCCCATTGTGGACAGCTAAGATAAGCAACCGCTGGTTCCGGCTGCATCTAATTGGTAACGACTGCAAATGTAGCCAGGACCAACGGCTTAACGTGCCTTCCGAGGAGCCTGAAGCGGTAAATTTATGGTCACCCATCCGATGACCGGCCATTACGAAAGTTGTTTAGCTTCCACAATCGCAGATCGAACCTGCTAATCGTTTATGCTATCGTATTCCTCACAGATATGTTATTAAAACTATTTTTACTAAGACAAAATTTTAATATAAGGAAAAGATAAAACTATTTAAGTACATTTTGTTTTAAGATAAAGATTTAAAGATAATCTACAACCGTCAAGAACGTGTAACTTTAATCGGTTATGTTAGTTTTTTATCGTAGAACTACTAATATCTTTATAATCTTCACGCACTTACTATTATTTTTTATATTTAATTATCGATTCCTGTAATGATTTCGCTTAAATATTATCTTTTGCACTTTGTCCGCTAAAGTCGACTTCACTGGAGACCGAAGAGCTGGCATCTTCCTCGGACAAAGAATTATTTTAGCTTTTCAAGGGGAATCGCTGCCAGTATCTTCGGAACCTTGCCTAAAGGGATTCTTTTTAATAATATATTTTAGTTATTATATTATATTTTTTAAGGTTTTTAGTTTTAGGTTCATTGTTCCTGTATATATATACATATATATATATATATATTAATAATTAATCCCAATTTCCTTTGATCACTTGAGAATGACTTCAAACATCTTTTTACCAAAGTTACTTACCTATATATTTAATCTTATGTCCTCAAGAAAAAAAGGTAATTTAAGAAAAATTAATGCTGCACTATTTTTCTCATATTTTTATCAAGCTGGACAACGTCTGTGCGCTTCTTCTTTTATGCCACTATTACTATTATTTGACTTGGAACATATATATATATATATATACTAGCTGACCCAGCGTACTTCGTATTGCTTACAATAATTTGGAAGAAATGATAATCGACGAACGTCAAATGTTTGACAGGAATATACACATAGCCATCTGTCGGATCCAATGTAAAACATTCCAAAATCAACAACTACTAATAAATTAAAAATTAATTAAAAAAACATTGTCCAGCGGACCAAATTGTGAATCTAAACCATTCTCAGATCCCCTTGAACACACACAAAAAATTTCATCAAAATCGGTCCAGTCGTTTAAGAGAAGTTCAGTGACATACACACTCACAGAAGAATTATATATATAAAGATATATATATATATATATATGTGTTGAAAGGGTACCAAATAAGCATATTATTATGACCCACCCCGTAAGTGGCCAACCTATAGACACTTGCGATACCAAAAATATCACTCACTCCATTTCCTACCCTGACCCAATCTCCTAACCCGTGGAATATGCAATAATCTCCAAAATACACTTACTTAAACACTTAATGAGGGGCTCGATGGCGCAGGTGGCTAGCGCGTTCGGTTGCGATCGCTGAAGTTAAGCAACTTCCGCAATGGTCGGTCATTGGATGGGTGACCAGAATCTTCTAATTCGAGTTCCTCCGTGCTTCGGTAGGCACATTTGGTCCCGGCTTTAGCACTTGCCTATCCGCACTGGGCCCGCGTGGTGGGTCATGGCCCAATCTCCCTATTCCAACCATAGGGAAGGCCAGTGCCCCAGCAGGAGGGACGTTATTAGGCTGATGATAAAAGATTTAATTTTACATTTATCTATTTATACTCACTCATTTCTCTAGTCAGCGCTGGTTCTCTCCTCAAAGATCGTTTGCTGAAGAATCTGTTATAATCTTGTTCAGTCAATGGTTCATGGTTACCATAGAAAGCACCATTGTCACTGTAGAACTTAAAGAAATCGTCTTGTTTCTGGCTATACTTTCTATTTATCAAAACCAATACGGACCGTGCGTCGTAGAGGCTCCTAACTGTAGTTTTGTTCATTTTCAAAAAATTCACACTTACTAACATTTTCGATAGAAGACGACAACTAAACGGGATCACTTTAAATAAAAATAATACTATGAGAATCTAAATTAAATTTTTGATGTTTATTTAGAATTAATTAATTTAATTAGTTGATAATCTGTGAGGGTCCTTCCTAACTTACACACACAAAAAATATTATTATTATTACTCCCCGAATAAAAAAAATATTAGAAAATCTTTTATGCTAACGTCTTTATTTTAACTAGAACCGGTTATGATTGAAACTAGTCAATAAGCCGCAGAATCAAATGATTATGACGTCACAACTAGATACGCGTGTCATTAAACGATAAACAAAAAAAATATGTAAACTCTAACTTATATATCTATTAAAAACATTGAGAGGTACTCATTCAATAACAAAACCCGTGTTTTGGTAACAAACAGTACTATCTTTGACTTTAGATGTTATTATATTGCAATAAACATGAGACTTTAATCAATATTTCAGAGCTCCTTATCTTGAAGTAACGGTGGATGGTAAATAAGTTTAAAGATTGATTTGTTAATTAGTTTGGGTTAAACAGTGGTCCCACCTGTATGTCTTACTAGTAGGATTCGGTATACCCCTATGGTTCTACTGTACTGGAGGTCAATCGCCTAACGAGATTGCTGTGGCTATCGTTATCGCTTACGATTTCATTTTGTTATATCTGACCGTCTTAGGTGTTCAAATACCTCACGGTTAATTTCCTAAATATTGTTATTACCAATGCAAAAGATTAATATTGTTATTACCAATGCAAATTTAGGCAGACGCAGCCTGCGGCTGCGGCTTCTCCTATGTGTATTTCTGTAACCACCACGACATCTGTCTGTGAGACACTTAATATTGAATGTATTTCGTCAATGGCTGTATTTCATGCAAGATTGTTAAACCTATACACTCTTACTCCCATCCTTTAAACCTTTTATTTATTTTCTGTTTCGTTTCCTTTCCCCTCCTCTTCCTTTCGCCTCTCACTATTAATAAACCGTCCTCTCCTCTCCCTGTCTTTCCCATCCATTCGACCTCCCTGGCTGCATCTCGACGCGGATTCGGATTCTGATAAGCCTACTCTACCAACGATCGAATCCTCTACATCACAATTATGTTATATTCATCAACTTAAAATGTAATAAATAAATGAGTATTAAAAAATGCAAAAGAAAAAAAGAGCGCGAGACACTTGCATACTTTCGGCAGTCAGAAATAACAAAATGAAATCGTAATCGATAGCAATCAAAATCCAATAGCCATAGCTATGCCGTTAGGCGATTGACCCTCTGGACTATTGCAATTAATATAAAAAATATGCACGAGATAGGAGATTGGGTCAGGGTAGGCAATGGCGCTAGTGATATTTATGGTATCGCTTCGCTTACAGACTATGGTGGCCGCTCACCATCGGCGGGCTATATGCTTATTTGCCACTCTTTTAACATAAAAAATGAGTTTATTTGTGGATTTTATTACTCACACCCTCATAATCTTGGACTCCTCCTTAGAGTTGAGGATTGGCTACCGGTTGGAGTACCAGCTACACTTGATCCCGGGAATAACCTTGAACAAAAGCTTTTATATAAATAGGTACGCAAAATTAAGTAAACACTGTTTCACGTCATAATTTACCCACGACAACGGCTAATTAGAGCCAACGTCCGAGTCTCAGAGACGCCTTCTAGTTGAGCCGAACCCCTCAGGTTCGAGTGTTGTAAAGGCTCCAGATGGAGAGGAGATCTCCCCCCGTGGGGACATGCCATCTGCCTGGAATACCTCAAGAGGCACTCCTAGGATCTCGCCGTCCCCAAACCTGGCGACGGTGTAAAGGTCATCTGCGACCAACAGCATACACACTCAAAAAAAACATGATATATCTTTTTGGGTATTAGCAGAGGTTTGAGGGTGCAGGAGTTTGAGGGACAAACATCCAAAAACACAGCACTACGAGTAACATGTGATAAATATAAAAAAATGCAAGGCTACGTTTTCCATAGTCATGGCTATACGACGAAAAAAGGAGATAAAGACCAGAGATCAGAAGCAAAGTTAGAATTCTCTTGTACTAATTGTTTTAAGGATTCAATGGCCGAGTCCAAATATTGCTAGGAAATCCTAGCAATATTTGCTTAAGCTGCAAGGCAGCGCCATGGATTTTTTGTAGTATTTTTTTTCTTTAGATTTAATTATCCAGCAGTTAAGTGCTAAAAAAATTAAAATTTTAATATTTGTGTCAATGTTTTGTTAAATGTGTTTTTTTGTTTCACATTCAATCTCAAGAGTTTGATTCCCGGCTGTAGCAGGCGATTTTTTAAAAACTGTGAATGCAGCTCTACTTATTATCTATACTTATAATAAATCTGTAGAGAGGTCAATTCTGTACATGAAATATATTTTCAAAATAACTATCAGGGGGTGATTAGTGATCGATACTGATGCCAAAAATGCAATCAGTAAAATTTTTGTCTGTCTGTCTGTCTGTCTGTGTGTATGTTCCTTATAGAAACAAAAACTACTCGACGGATTTTAACCAAACTAGGTACAATTATTCTTCATACTCCTGGGCAGGTTATAGTATACTTTTCATCACGCTACAATCAATAGCAGCAGAGTAGTGAAGGGAAATGTTGGGAAAACGGGAGAAGTTACTCCATTTTTTAAGCTTCCGTCGCGTGTGCAGCCTTAATGGTTAAAGTTGTTAAAGTTACATAGAAATCATGTATGACGAAAATATTCTACATAAAATTGTCTAAAAAATATCCCGCAACAGCATATGTCTATCTTTTATGGTTGACTCACAATAACACGTGTAATTATATAAATAAAGTCATTGTTTATAGCACAAGCCTGAGAACAAAAACTATAGTTTACACTACAGCTCTACAACGAAGCGAAGCGAGGGTGGGCCACTAGTTAAAAATAAAAATGATGTCTTCTTTCAGGAAAATATCCTATCTTCAATATTTAATATACTTTCCTTCGTGTGACAACCCCGTGGGACACCCTGTATTTTGGTCTACTGTCTGACGTTGTCTTCTCTTGCGCTCGTTACTCCTACCACTGGTCAAATTCTCACTACTCACTCGCAACTGTTCGCGACACAAAATACTCACAGTATCCGATTCTGCCAGACTTTAAAAAAAAATACACTGTAGAACTAAAAAATATAGATTCACACTTACTTCATGACTCGTTTGTACTCTTCCATCATATCGTCCACTGGGTCCATAGCCACAGGCTCAAAAGTCTTCAGAGCTAAGTACGGTGCTCCGGAGTTTACAGCCGCTATCATCTGAAATAAGAACGGTTATAAACACTGAAAAGTTCAAGAGAGGTTGGGCATAGCCTTCACCTTATAGAAGGCCACTTAAATAACATTACCTTTTGGTAGTGTTATAATACAAGACATTGTAAAAGATTACTCATTGATACAATCCCGAAAACTACACGTTTTAAAAAGAACTGTTTCTACATGTGCATTCTAATTTTTAATAATATTGCACATTCAATAAGAGATTTGCCTTTCAGTAGATTTAAAATAACACTACATAGATGGCTCATTGAACGTAAATTCTACTAGGTCCGGGAATTCTTGAATTATAACAGCCAATATATAAATAATATTAATTTTGGTGGATGATATTTTTAGTGACATAATATACTGATTTAATTAAATTTTTGATTCACATTTTAAATATGACCTGATTTTAATCGATTTTTAACTACTTCTTCTGTGACTTGTTAAATAATTTTTATTCAATTATGTGACATAGTATTAATTAATTTGATAAAAAACTAAAGTTAATTCGCATGCTACGGTCTATAGCTGAATAGGTGAAATCTACAGTACGGTTATGCGTAACTAATTGTGACCCTGATTACCCTGTTCAAACGTAAATAAAATATTATTCTAAATTAGTTTAAACTCGCTCAGAGAGCTATGGAAAGGGCTATGCTCGGAGTATCCCTGAAGGACCGCATCAGAAATGATGTAATCCGACAGAGAACCAAAGTCACCGACATAGCCCACCGAATTAGCAAACTGAAGTGGCAGTGGACTGGTCACATTAGCCGCAGAACCGATGGCCGTTGGATCCGGAAAGTTCTTGAGTAGAGACCACGACTCGATAAACGTAGTGTAGAACGCCCTGAGACAAGATGGGATGATGATATTCGTAGGGTGGCTGGAGTGAGCTGGATGAGAGTAGCACAAAATCGGGAGCAGTGGCGTGCATTAGAGGAGACCTATGTCCAGCAGTGGACGAACATGGGTTGATGTAATGATGATGACGATTCTATGTTTCTGCCGGTGAGGAGTATAGGGTCAGGGTAGGGAATGGTGCGAGTGATATTTTTGGTATCGCAAGCGTCTATAATTTCGCCGCACACGGACCACCGGCATATTTCTTGTAGTTTTCATACATTTTATATGGACTCTCTTAGTGTCGCCGCACACGGGCCACACGCCACAGCCACTAACGCCGCCACGAGAAGCTAGAATCGGCTACTGAAGTGGCTGAAGCGCGCGACAGTGGCCGACTAAAGCAAGGGAGAGAGGGGTGGGGAATCGCGCGAGTGACGTGTGGCGGCGTTTTGCATCGGCGCATTAAGTGGTCGGTGCGGGTCACAACAAGCGAGCACCGACGATTTGTAGCATGTGGCGGCCACCGGCATACCGTGTGTGGCGAGTCCAAATAAAATGTATGAAAACTACAAGAATAAGCCGGTGGCGGCGTTTTGTGATTGTGGTTGGTGGCCTGTGAGCGTCGCGGCGACACTTAGTCGGCCGCTGTCGCGCGCTTCAGGCACTTTAGTAGCCGCTTCTAGCTTCTCGTGATGGCGTTTGTGGCTGTGGCGTGTGGCCCGAGTGCGGCGACACATAGGCTATTGCGATCGCTTACCATCAGGCGGACCATAGGCTTGTTTGATTGAAGTTTACGGCACGATCATCTTAAAATATTTGTTTTGCATATTACCACCTACTATGTATGATTTACATGTCATGTTATTTGTTTTTTAGGTTTTCACGCACATCACTCATTATATAAATCAAGTTTCAACGAGTTAGATGCATTGATTTTATTTATTTATTGACGCTTCGCATCCTTTGTGGGAATGCGTCGTCAGAATAATAATAGGGTATTTGACAGTATTAAAAATAAAGTGCCAATTGTTAGCATCTGTGTTTATAATGAATATTGGCAGGGTTTTTATTTACTATTTTAACAAAAAAATATTCATAATTTTACTTAAAACCCACGAAAAAGATAATAGTTTTCTTATCTATTGTCACATGACCCAAAACGCTTGATATTGGCGGAGCCTAAAATGACGTCACAGGCAAGTAAACTTCCGGTTAAAGTGACATTACATTGTATCGTTTGACGTTTTAATAACAGTCCTGTGATGTCACACAGTAGTAAGACGCCATATTGTCCAGAAAAACGTTTTCGCGGCAACTTGAAAATAGAGTTTTTGATTTGGTTATTTTTACAGAAATACACAACAGAATGATGAATATCCTTTTTATGGACTCCATAAACATTAGTCAATTACGTGAGATCGTTTTCTAAAACTTGTCAAATACCCTATCTGAATTAGTCTGACGACGCATTATATTACGCACATATTTGCAGGAATGCGTCGTCAGAATAATAATTTGAATTATTCTAACCTGCGAAGGATGTGAAACGTCAATAAATAAATAAAATCAGTGCATCTAACCCGTTGAAACTTGTTTTATTTAATGTCTCATGTTTTTATCTATGTACGAATAACGTTCAATAACTGCCCCTAAAGACTTGTGTTGAATAAACTTATTTTGATTTTAAAGTGACAGAATTCTTAGTAAATGAAGTTTTTAAATGAACCAAAGCTTCGGAGTTCGTGTAATTAATAACAATGAAATTCTTTCGAGTTGTTCGTACGTTTACGTCATTCAATAAATAAAGTTCGTGCATTAACCCGTTAAAACTAGTTTTATTTAATGAGTGATGTGCGTGAAAACCCAAGAAACAAATATTCTTCCAAGTTTGTAAATACTTAAGTGATGATTAACAAAAACACAGTCCGCACTAACTATATCCGGCTAGAATGTGTTGTTTGACATTTGAACTGTGTAATTGTATCGTTGTTCTTAGAATTTACACTGTTTCTGATAATATAGTTAGTGCTTTAATGACCTCATTAACTCATTATAATGTTGACTAGGAGATAGATTTCAATTTTGTCATGAACACGCAAAACATGCGAATTGCGATAACGCTTGTTGTAAGTAGAGAAGATGAAAACCGCATAACAGACTAACGCACCAATCATCATCAGCATGCTTATCCCACACCTGAATGAATCTGCTAAGGTTTTTTCACACAACATTAACATTTTAATATACAATATACCAACAACAGAGCTGGCGAAAAAGCAAAAGCATGTAAATACAGGGTCTAGGCTCCGAATATGATTTTGTCCCATTCGGTGTCGAGACCCTTGGTGCGTGAGGTCCTAGCGCTATGAGGTTTTTTAAGGAAATATCAAAAAGGTTAGTCGACATCACAGGAGACCGAAGAGTTGGCAGCTACCTCGGACAAAGAATTAGTCTAGCTATTCAAAGGGGGAACGCTGCCAGTATCTTCCGAACCTTGGCTAAAGGGACTCCTTTTAGTAGTATATTTTAGTTATAATATTTTATTTTTTAAGGTTTTGAGTTTAAGCTTTTAATTATAATAAATAATAAAAAAACATTTTTAAATATACAATATTGTTTTTTTTAGGTTTGAACATCTAACAGTTATTTGCTTAAAAAATAAAGAATATAAATACAATATAGTGTCAAATAAATTACGCACTAGCGATTAGCAGCCTAGGCGGTTCCTTTGAGCGGTCCAACCGCTTAACGCGGTTTCATAGCGGTTTCTTTGCGATTTGCCGCCATTAGACACTCGCCTCCTGTTAGACCACTCGAATTCACGTCTCCCATAAATTAACTAATCGGCGGATCGCCACAAACTAAACTTCCCATTTTTTTTTATTGATAGGTCCGATAAATGAGTCCACCCCACCTGATGTTAAGTGAAGGTGAAGTCCAGACGTGAAGATAGCTGATACAGCAGTTCTACCTGCCACACCAGCCATCTTCACCCTGCCGGCCTGCATGTTGCTTCTTCACGCCTCTTTTAAAGGATCCCAGGTTGTAAGAGGGAGGGAACACGTGAGCGGGCAGAGCATTCCATTTACGGATAGTACGACAAAGAAATGAGTCACCAAATTTCTTTGATCGCTTTGATGAACGCCAGTGCGTATAAACTAGATGGCGGTCAACCGCGAAGCGGGCCGCAGCTCTCCATTCAACCTTTTGGTGGCTGGTGTTATGTTTCTGTCGGTGAGAAAGGTTTCAAGGCTCCACGGGGTAGGGTATTGGATCAGGGTAGGCAACGGCGCGAGTGATATAGGCTATGGTGGCGCTTGCCATCAGGGGCCCATATGCTTGTCTGCCGACTTCTAACATAAACACTATTTTGGTTATTCATTCTTTATAGCATGATATCGAACGAAGATAGAATAAAGAAAAGAAACATCCGAGCGCGTCAGATATTGAGATGGTTGTCACGTAAGCTACAGGAAGAGCTCTTATTGTAAAGACTATTTGGACGCGACCAAAAGTCATAGTAGTTTGTTGTTATTTTTTTGCTGCCCAGGACCGTGGTTTGCCGTTCATAAACCGCTCAGGTATGGTGGGAGTACTTCATCATCATCATCATCATCAGTCTAATAATGTCCCCACTGCTAGGGCACAGGCCTTCCCAATGGATAAAATAGGGAGATTGGGCCATGACCCACCACGCGGGCACAGTGCGGATTGGCTTAACGTGCCTTCCGAAGCACGGAGGAGCTCGAGATAGAAGCTTTTTGGTCACCCATCCAATGACCGACCACTGAGGAAGTTGCTTAGCTTCAACGATCGCAGCCGAACGCTCTAGCCACCTGCGCCATCGAACTCCTCTTAACTGAGTACTTCACAACGTGCAAAGTTTGACTCCCTTATGGTATTCTGCTGCGTTCGGGTTAAACACAAAATCCCCCGCTTGGGCTCCCCTACTAATAGCACATAGATAGGTACTGTTACAATATCATCATCACCCTATTAATGTCCCCAATGCTGGGGCACAGGCCTTCCCTATGGATGGAATAGGGAGATTGGGCCATGACCCATCACGCGGGCCCAGTGCAGATTGGTGGGTGCTAACGACTGCAGATGCAGCCGAGACCAACAGCTTAACGTGCCTTCCGAAGCACGCAGGAACTCGAGGTAGAAGATCCAATGACCGACCACTGCGAAAGTTGCTTAACTTCAACGATCGCAGCCGAACGCTCTAGCCACCTGCGCCATCGAGCTCCTCTTAACTGAGTACTTCACAACGTGCAAAGTTGACTCCGTTATGGTGTTCTGCTGATTCGGATTAATCACAAAATCCCCACTTGGGCTCCCCTACTAAAAGCACATAGATAGGTACTGTTATTTTTTTTTTTTTATGCTAAATAGGCAATGCGTTTGACCACAATCTCACCTGATGGAAAGCGATGATGAGGCCTAGGATGGTACACGCCTGCCTAGAAGATGCCTGTTCACTCTGGCCTTGAAGATGTCCAGGTTATATTGGTCCGGGAAAACAGACCTCGGCAAGGAGTTCCACTCCCTAGTCGTTCGTATAATGAAGGCCGAAGCAAATCGCTTCGTGCGAATAGGAGGAACTTCGACAACATAAGGGTGGAAGCCCTCGCCGCGCCTGGTCGTCCGGTGGTGGAAAGGGGAAGGGGGGATCAAATTATGTAATACCTCCGCACACTCTCCGAAATGTAACCGATAAAACACCGAAAGGCAAGCTACACGTCTTCGGTGGTCAAGGCTCTGAAGATTAGCCTCAACGAGAGCGTCATTGCCTATGAGTCTCTTCGCACGGTGTTCCACCGAGTCCAGTGCATCCAGCTGATACCGAGCAGATCCGTCCCAAAGGTGACAACAGTACTCCAAGCAGGAGCGAACTTGGGCTCGGTAAAGGTTAAGGAGCTGCTCAGATGTAAAATATCGCCTGACCTTAGAAAATATTCCAAGTTTTCTGGCAGCGGTTTTAGCAATGGACTCGATGTAGTGACCGAAATTGAGGCTGGATGAGATGTCCATACCCAAGAGCTCGAGATGGTCTTTAACCGGCACGGAGACATTTCGAAAAGTCGGAGTCAGATGGAATGGACTCCGTTTCGTCGAGAAGAGACAGGCCTGTGTTTTAGAGGGATTGAATCCAACCAAGTTGGCTTCACCCCAGAGGGAAACAGCTTCCAGGGTTGCATTCACTCCCTCCACCATCGCCTCCCTTAATGATCGGACATCTGCATCAGACTTCACATCAGGCAGATATCTCCCCGAAACTGTGCTGTCATCAGCATACCCAAAGATACCAGGAGTTGACCATACCCAAAGATATATCAGCACTTAATATCAGGTGGAGTGTAGTCGGTGCACGCAGAGTCGGCAACGGTTGCCGCGACCACACCCGCACTCCCGGCGTGCTGCGGGGGGACTGCGGTCCTCAGAATAATAATAATATACCATTTATTTTCTCCTCACAAAAGGTGTAACAGTACAATAGGTAATTAACTTAATCAATACAAATACATAAACCTATTATGTGGGAGACTGGTGCCCGTAAAAGGCAACTACGAATAGCTACCTGTACTAACAGGTCACCAGGCCCAGACTATCATACATAAACCATACGTGTATTGCATATCTTAATGGAAAATTGAATACCTACTCCTTTGAATGTACGCCGGGTGACCGGTGCAGGAGTATTGTCTGGTTTTTAGTGGCTCTGTTCAGGGTGTTAGGTAGGGCCCTGCTCCCCAGTGAAGTGGCGCACACTAAGGTGCATCGATCCTGAGAAGCCACCATATGGGCGTAGGAGGGTACCGGGGGGTTTTAGTGGAGTAGGATCAGTGTGGCCTTCCGCACTGGTCCTGCTTGAGTAGGGTCGGCACTGTTTCCCGTGCCGGCGAGTCCCACACACGCCGTGCGCCTAGTCAGCGTCACGGTATGGTGCGTAACTGCATTTCCCCTCGTCACAAAAATAAAAAAAGGTAGGGCCCTGCTCATGTCACTCGGCCTAATGGCTAACTGTAATGAGCAGGGAGGAGTCCCACATACCTTCTTCTCGCTCCCCCGGTGGTTGAAGGATGCGTAAGACATTTCCCAGACAAAAAAATAGATTGAGTGCAGCCACTTCTCTACCGATATGCTAAGTATAAAATAACATACTTACATCGCTTGTATCGGCTTTCATGTCAGCAAGTTTCCTGTTCAAGTCTTGCTTTAGTCCTTGCATCAGAACAAAGTCTTTTTGCAGGATTCCTTCAAGACCTGCACGACATGTAGGAATAGAAATTTTATCAGGTAAAAAAATATTGATCACTTATTTTTATCTAAAGAAAAGTTTACTAGAAAAAAAAACCACGCGGACCAGGCAGCGGACGGGACTCGAACCCGCACCCTTCGCAATCCAGGCGAATGCACTGACCACTATGCTACCACGGCCCTATTAGCCGCGTCGAAATTTTCCTAGCCTTAAGCTGCAATTCAGCGCCATCTCTTCGCATTTTAGGTAACCCACAAAAAAAAACATATTTTTAAATAAAAAACCACGCCAAAAGATCACTGTAGGGTACGGCAGTAGGGGCGCTGACCCTACTGCCGTACCCTACAGTCGTATCGGCGTTCTTAAATACAGTGTCAAGGTCTTGTATTGGAATGTATAGGTATTTCTGTTAACCCTCTCAGTACAGATGTCTCCATGTGGTCAGTACTTGGATGAACGCTCTGTACAAAGCCTGTACTTGCTTCGGTAGTACATATCCTGATATACTTAACCTGATATAGTGCCTGAAGAAGGAGAAGACGAACGCTCATGTTCTGCTGGAGTGTAGAAAAGTTACAAGAGAATAGACTCACTCATGGAAATGGATGCGTGATATTATCTAATATATAAAATTCTTGTGTCACGGTGTGCGTAATTGAACTCCTCCGAAACTGCTCGACAGATTTCGTGAAATTTTATATGTGTATTCAGTAGGTCTGAGAATCGGACAACATCTGTTTTTCATCCCCCTAAATGTTAAGGGTGGTCCACTATTAACTTTTTTTTAAGACAAATTTTTTATTTTAATTTTTTATGATACATCATACAAAAATACATACAACCCTAAATTTTCACCCTTCTACCACCCATATTTTTATGGCGATACGAAGTTCGCTGGCTCAGCTAGTTGTTATATAATAGATACCAGTGCAGCAATATCAGCGGACTGCTGGACTTCCTGTAGAAGCTGCGATGACACTCCTCACGCAAAATTAGCACCAAATGTCGAGTTACAATTAACGCATTTATATTATGCAATGAGCCAGCTTTTCTTACTTCCGGTAGCGCTGCTTAATTTTCATAACGATGCGTGCGTTACGATTATGGAGCTGTGAAAATTCAGCCTAAACATACCGGCGTTCGTTAACAAAGCGTCCAGATCGTGTGTGGGGAACTCTGCAGTAGATGGCGCCAGCAGTCGCGGCGACGGCGCGCGCGGGGAGCGGGGTGACGCGGGGGACGACAGAGGCGCTGGCCAATCAGATTAACAGAGATATATATTTATAAATCTATGGAAAATTACTAGAGAAACAATAGAGGTGATGTCGGTGCATAAAGTAAATAAAATTTTATTTAGTCCGTCAGTTAGATTATCAAACAGACACTTTTATATTCTTTTGTCAATCAACAAAAAAAATGCTAAAGCGCATCAAAGTTTAGGAGTGGGGGCTCATGACGTCACTTTGTAGTAAAATTGTGCGAAAACGTGACCTCACGCGACATTTCAAATCAATATATCTCTGTAATGTTTTGATTTTGTGAAATAAATAAAATGCATTTCTTATATTTTTTGATAATCTACCTGATAGACGAAGAAGAAAAGTATTGTCATCATGCCTATTCTTTACATCTCAAAATCAAGCAGTGTAATGCTTAAAATAAAAATAGGAAGAAATATATTCACATTCTTATTGTAAGAAAAAGATAAAAAAAGCCTTTATAAATTAAACCATAACATAAAAAGCAAGTCATAATAGAGTTGCTTTCATTTTTAAAATCCCAATATATTTTTTTAAGTAGACAAAGATTACGCTTTGCTTCGTTTTAACAATACCATAGGAAATAAAAATAAGTTGTGACAAATAAGAATAAGCCATTATTACCCAATACGCGACATTGCCCACTTATGATTGCATGATTGCATACGACATCTAATGCACCAGGGATCCAGCCATCACCAATCATATCCGACCAAATCTTCTATGCAACTACTCACCCATCATCATATCCTCAGGTAGCTCCCATACAGAAGATCTCCCAGCTCCAGATGGCAATAAGGATTCTCCCAACTCTACATCTCTGAGTTTGATATTTCAATCATTCTTTAAAACTTGATATATTTTCAGATGCAGACATTGAAAAATATACCATCATAACCCCACTCATGTATACGTGGGATCAATCAAATGCCCAATAGTGACCACCCCCCTAACATTGACTCAAAACGCGATATGTAAAGCGATTCATCTAAATTTACTTTCAAACTAATAATGAAGTTTGACAGTTATCGACATAAAGTTTATCGCGGTTCTCATGCTAGAAAGACTGGAATCCACCTTTACCATGTCTTTGGACTTCTGAAGAATGGAGGAACTCGAGATCGTATAAAACTTTATCCACCTATCCAGTAACCGGCATTTATGACAGTTTAAAAATTATAATACGTCTTCAGCTCCTATATTGTAGATCTCCTGGCTCGCAGCGTGTCTGCAGGTGGTGGTAACGGCTCTCCCAGCTGTTCGTCTCTGTCATAGATGACTTATAAAGAACCAGAAAACCAACTTTAATATGAGGATGTCTTGAAAAAGTTTTGATCTCCCATCTAGAAGCTGGCATTTGGTTAAGTTGCTGAAGCTCCCCAATAGTAGTCAGCTAACTCTTTTAACTACTACTACTCACCCATCATTATATCCTGAGGCAACTAGCTCAAGTTTTAGTCACCCATCTATTTATCGGAATTTATTAAACATGCTTAACCCTCCCAATCCTATCCGTCTATTTCCTGTTACTAACTTCTTACCCATCATCATATCCTCAGGTAGCTCCCATATAGAAGGTCTCCTGGCTCGCAGCGTGTCTCCAGGTGGCGGTAACAGTTCTCCCAGCTCCACGTCTCTGAGTTTGACGACACTGATGTAGTCACAGCAGGTGAACAGTAGTTCTCCGCGGTTGAAGCGAATGTATTCTCTGAGAAACAAGTAATAAATGCTAGATGTAATGAACTCGTGAGATATTTTTTATGTCAAAGGGGTGGAAACATGCATATGCCATGCTTGACGGTAAGCAGCCACCATAGCCTATTGCACTTGAGATACAAAAATATCACTCGCACCGTTGCCTACCCTGACCCCATCCTTTAACCCATGGAGACCTGGAACCTAACTTACCGACAGAAACAGAATACCACTCTTTACCCCATTAGTGGGGATTTTAATAAGCTGAAGATGATGATTTATTAGGCTCAGAATTGATTTTGCCTTTTCCCCCATATGATGACTGACCATAGCTAAATTTACCTCACTTTCTTTCTATTTTTAATACTAACGGTTCTTGTTCAAAGCTTCTTTGAACCAAAAGACAATCTGCCAGTCTGGCAGTCTGCCAATTGTCTTTTGGTTCGCTTATAATATCAAATTGTCTATGATCCTCAGGTCCCTTTATCAACAGACTTTAAAAAGGAGAATGTTCTTAGTTCGACTACCTATACGTTTTTTTTATACTTACGGTTCATGCGTTCATCGTTGTCGTCATCTGTGAGGTTTTAACTAAACTTACCATTGTTAATACTTACGGTTCTTGTTCAAAGCTTCTGGATTGCCAGTCGTCTTTGCTTTCCGGCGGTAATATCAACCCGCCCGGAGACCACTGGTAAACGCTGGAATCTTGACGGCAGAACATTTAGTTCTAACAGTGGCTCTGATAATCATCTTCGGACAGTGACTTTAGTACCCTGCAATATCCTTATCCCATTCACAAGAAAGGCCAATAATAATAGACTCTATATTCCCTATCCCATCCGAAGAGAAAGCCTGTGCCCCAGCAGTGGGGACATTAAAAGGCTGATGATGTTTATAGCACAGAATCGGTATTGCCATATCACCCATCTGATGAATGGCAATTTCAAAGATTTGTTTATTTTAAGTTAGTAGTATTAATACTAACGGTTCTTGTTCCAAGCTCCTCGACTGCCAGTCGTCTTTGGTCTCCGGTTGTAATATCAACCCGCCCGTAGATCCCTGGTACACGCTGGACCCTCGACGCGAGAACACTTCTAACGGAGGTTCGGATAACGAATCATCGTCTGACAGGGACTTTCTTGCTGGTCCTGCAAAAAGACATGAATAAAGTTTTTATTGTGACGAACACTCTGAACACGGGACGTGGCAGGGGCGAAAAAATTATAATAGTTATTTCGTGTAAGGTTTGTTATTTAAAAATCAGTAAATTTTACCTGACGCCCAGAACGTGTAGTATACTCTTTTCTAACTTCTGGTAAGGGGCCGGTATTAGTTTGGTCAGCCAGTATGAAGGCCGGTTTAATGCGGTCTATCGATACTGTGACCTCTTTTCCTTTTTGGAGAATTTTGAATATTTTGTCTCCTCTGGCTAGTACTTTGAAAGGGCCTGAGTAAGCTGGTTGTAAGGAACCACGTAACGCGTCTTCACGCAGGAAAACATGATCACTGGACGTGGCAGGGGCGAAAAAATTATAATAGTTATTTCGTGTAAGGTTTGTTATTTAACAAAATATTTTTTGTGATTTAATAATTGAAATTAAGTTTGACTTATATTATTCGAGTAGTGGGGATTCAAGATGGTAATGTGCACGTGGTGCGTGGCATTCTCGGCTGAGATTCTTGCACGGAGAGTGAAGAATAAAGGAGTATTGGGTAAGTAACTGGAGGTATTAAGATTTCTTACCAGGATGGATGCAATAAGTTCCAAATTCCACTCTTTTTCCAAGCACACCGAGGAAAGGAAACTTCAACTTGATGCTTTGAAGTAAGCACTCTTCGTACATATCCCAGATGTGGATAGTCTAGAATTGAATTAAATAAATAAATAAATATTTCTAACACTCACACCAATTAGCCTAGCCCCAAAGTAAGCACTGTAAGGCTTGTGTTATGGGATACTAGGGTAACGAATAGAATACATATTTTATACTGTACATATATAAGCATCCATGACTGGAGTACAAATGCTCGTATTCATCACAAAAACATCAGCCCCCACCAGGATTCGAACCCGGGACCTCTCGAGTCAGCGACACCATGAAACCCGGCCTACAAACCACTCGGCCACGGAGGTAGTCAATTACACGATCTGTTTTAATAACCACGGGGCTCAAGGCTCCACGGGGTATTAGGGTCTATCATACACTGTGGTCTTCTTTAACTCTAGCGTGAACATATGTATTCGAAGTTATTGCGTGTACTAATAACTTTTTATTTTTCCCACCTTGCAAAAGGCTATGCAATAAAGTATCACATCGTATAGTATTAACTTAATAAAGTTATTAGAACTTAACAGGGTAGAGATTGGAATTTTTGGCGGGATGGGGCAGCGTCACTTTAGCAGTTTTGTTTTGTTTGTTAAAAATTGTGTTGTGGCGGATGTTAGTGTCTAATAATGGTGGATTATTAACCACTAAGTGTTCGAGAACATGCACAAGTGTTCGCAAGTGAAACAAAATAGCGGAAAGTATCTTTCGAGGTTCCCTTAAGGCCCTTTTCACATGCACACGGTCACGGCACGGCCGCCACGCCGTGCAACCGTGCTAGCTCTTTCACATGTATACGGCTTACACACGGTCGCCGGCTATGGATGTTGCAGTATTATCGAGAATTTTGGGGAACGACGACGTCTTTTATTAGGAACAAAAAAAGATTCTTTTCATTATCATCTAATTCTTCAAAACTACTATTTAATCCTATACATACTTCTTTCCACGCTTCTTTTGTCTCGTTCCTGTTTTTATAAGACGCGATGGTTTTATCCCATAAAGTAGGACGCGCTTCAACTAGCGAAATCAACACATCAACATCGATTTCGACAGACATTCTGCAACAATCGTCCGTCCGATCCCCTATGACTTTAGCTGGCGAATGGTATTTGCGCTCGCCGTGCCGTACCGCGCCCGTGTTCTTGTGAACGCGTCTATACAAGTCCATACAAGACTATAAAGACGGTTGCCGTGTCAAAACCGTGCATCTAGTGGATAAGGACGGCTGACACGCGGTCACGGCACGGTCGCCGTGCAATGTGAAAGCTCTCATTGTTGCTCATACATTACTATTTTACACGGCACGGCAACCGTGCCGTGTCCGTGTACATGTGAAAAGGCACTAAGAAGTCCACAGGGAGGTTCCAGTAAATCCCCACACATTTACTGAAACATAGGGAAAGGGGGTTTGACTTGACTGCCTTTTACTTTGACTTGATTAATTACTTTGACCACGAGTGCTATAGAATTTGTAAACATTTTAACACTTGACATTGGCTAAATGCACTTGCCGTGCGAAGCCATTTAGAAAAAAAAAGAAAGTAATACGCGACTCATATTCCCTAGTATTCATCGATTCTTAAAGGCAATAAGTCGTGCTTATTTGCATATAAAACCAATGACTGTAAATGTAATTCTTCTTCATCGTCACTAATCTAAGAAAGGGAACCTTCTCCTTAGTACCTTTAATGATGACTCACGCAGTTGTTGCAGTACCAAGGGGAATTTCCTCGGTGCCTTAAGGCTTATTTACGCCGCGGCAACACTGTGCGTCATTGCAGCATGCCACGAGGCCGCTTGCTACAATAATTAAAAATATCGCGAATTGTGGCAGGAATCGTGCGGCATGGCAACACTTTGCGTCATGTGGCAAAGTGTTGCAGCATGTATCAGGACACAATGGATTACGTGCGACATTTTTGGTGCGACAAGTCGACAACAGAGTTTATAGGTTATGTTTTGCTTGTATTTGTTTTTACAGTGAATTATTGGTGATGGAGTGGTGTAATAAAACATATTGGAGCACTGATCTTAGTTTTGGGAAGAGAGTTCCATATTGTTGTCAACCGAAATGATAGGAAGTTAGATATGGGATTGCTAGAACACACAGGCCTAGTCAATTTCAAGGAGTGACCTCTTAGTCGTTCTTTATTGTTCATCATATACAAGTTCTTGATATTACTTACATTATAATTATCATTCAATATCTTATGTCTCTATTAAGTCTCCTCGTGTTAGCGTTTGTTCTAGATTGATATGTGTCGTCTATATCAATGGGAATCTTCTCCGCGCCTCATTATATAATGATGACGACACATGCAGTTGTTGCAGTACGCCAGTACTATCTCTTCAGCTGCCAGCACAGCCACGTCAAGTATAGCGGGAGTGGAAGGCGCTGCCAGTAAAGCAAACGGGGTCTACTGAGTGGTTTCCCATAGACGAACTATACCGTCGGGACTGCCTGTAGCCAGTAGATACAGGGGAGATATGTGGAAGCGGTCGTGCCCTGATATTATCATCATATATCAAGAGGAACCCTCTCAGTGCCTTATTATATATGATAATGACTCACGCAGTTGTTGCAGTACGCCAGTACTATCTCGTCAGCTGCCAGCACAGCCACGTCAAGTATAGCGGGAGTGGAAGGCGCTGCCAGTAAAGCGAACGGGGTCTGCTGTGTGGTTTCCCATAGACGAACAATGCCGTCGGGACTACCTGTAGCCAGTAGATGCAGGGGAGATATTATGTGGAAGCAGGTAACGCCCTGAATGAGGATAAAAATATAGTGTTAATGTTAAAGTTTTCTTTGACGACCCTGAACAAAGTTTTTCAACTTATTGGGCGATTCTCCACTCACCAGCCCGTACTGGCACGGTACCGTCATGGCCCTAGACCAGTGCATTGTCAGGCTCCTCAAGGTGTATTTAGTAAGACATAATATTAAGGAGGTTAAAATTTGTATTATCGTAATTGTATCAAGCTCGAGAGAAGAGAGAAAATTTCGGAATGGCCTGTCATGGGAACCATTCGATGACATGGTCATCATCCCATGACCATAAGCCGTTGGTCCCGGCTGCATCTGCGGTCGTTAGCACCCACCAATCATGATCATGATTTATTCTTCCTATGAAGGTCTGTACATTAACAGACTGATGATGAAACATGGCGCAATACTACTCTGGTATCGTAATCGACTCTATCATTGTCACGCCTAATGAAAACCACTTTCCACCAGGCGGGTTATTTAATTTTGCCATCATTTTCAACTTACCCTCTGAACTCTAAACAAATAGTCATCCAACTTCCCCGGCACGTTGCGAGATCTGACGCTGACCAAAGAGTCGTGAGAGCAGGACAGCAATATCTCCCCGTCTCGCGTGTAAGCGACTCTTCGTATGGTTCGCGAATGGACGTTACGCCATGTGGTGATAGCGCAATATGTCGTATGGGGAGGTGATGATAACTCCTGAAAAATACATAGCGGATTTTCTACTGAAGTTGGAATTTTAGATTGAATGGGCAATGCCCACTTTGTATGGGAATTGGGCTTAACATGGACAAGCATTTTAACAAGTAAAACTATACAATGTATGAGGCTTAAACTACCCAGAATCTTTGATAATTTTGTATCAGTATCCTTTAAAATAATTTTTAACACCGCGATGAATAAAGGTAATATAAGCACAAATAAGTCATTTTCTCAACGATCAATAATACCACTAATATCTTCTCTTCAGTAAGTATGGACACGTATTAGTGCAAGAGTCACCGAATATAAATTAATGCTTAAACATTGGTATATTTGTATGTTCATACATAGGCCTACTCAATTTGCAATATATGTAGTAATAAATCATTGGCTTCTCTTTAAACGTTCCACGTGCAGTCTTTTATTCTCTTAGATACATATACGTATATCTTGGACAATATTCTAAAACTCCATACCGTCCAGAAGTAATTGCATTTGCAATTGCAGTCTTACTGTAGAATAAAGATATTGTCGGTTGCAGAAATCGTATCCTTGACAGATCTCCACGCTCAGAACCAAAATCCTTGTGTTATATAGTCTAGTCTTGTAATATGGCGGTTTATGACATCTATCTATGTTAAAATCTAAAGAATTTTTTAAAGAGAAAATAAAACACTTTTTGTCCAGGTGGATCAATCTTGGAGCCTTGTATTATACAGACATAATTTTAAGTGTCCAAGAATTAGGTCCAATAATGTATTCTGAAACTTACGCTCCAGAAGTAATAGTTGATGTTCTCCGGAGTCTTGCTGTAGAATAAAGATATTCTCGGTTGCAGAAATCTTATCCTTAAAAGATCTCCGCGTTCAGAACCAAGAGCTAATTCTGATGTACTGCGAGTTGAAGACATTGGTGTGAAGGCGAGGCACTGATGAAATGATAAAGATATTAATAGAGATTTTTTGAAATGATTACTAATTGAACAGTAAATGATAATAGATTAGGTTAGTTTAGGTTAGGTTGGCAGTTGTATTTTTCAGTGATCATTTACTATTTTTGATGATTGCATGAGTATGAGCCTTTTCAAACATCTGGTAATTTTTAAGGATTTTTTAACTGTACTAATCTCTTGTCACACTCTCTCCAGGAAATTGTAACTTTACTAATCCCTTGCATACTCCAGTAACTTGTAAGTATAAACTTAAGAACCTTCGATAAATTATCAAGGATTTTTTTTGGATCTCATAACACAAGGTATTGGAAATATTTTTTATTTCTGGTAAAGTTTACAATATAAGCAGTAACAGCTGTTATGGACTGTAACAAGTGTAATAACAAATTAAGGGTCCAATGTTTCATATAAAATAAAATATAACTGTACTTAAAATACGTCATAAAAAGCAACCATATGTCAAAATTATCAATATACTGTTTGTTCTAAAGTTAACTACACATGAGAAGAGTTAATTTCAACCATAATTTGGATTATAGCATTTGGCTGGCAGAATAGGGAAGATGCATATATAATATTTATGAAAATTTTATGATTAAAATGTTAAAAAAATATAAAAGAAATGCCACTGAAACGTTTTTATTTTACATATTATTATTACGAATTAAAAATACTTGAAACGGAACGTATTTTAAAACACCAATCAGCGTTTAGTGACGTCACTCCTGTTACGACAACTTCTTTGAGGTTATGGTTGTTAAAGTAAATATTATTTTATGGGAATATTTATTGCGTTTTTTTACATTTAATAAAAATGAAGCAGACTCCAGGAATTTACCAAGAGTTAGCGTTGGTTATAACTTTTTTTGTCCAAAGTGCAGAGTTTTTAAGTGTAGAAATGAAAGGGATTAAATTACTACGGTATGTAAAAATCGTAGTTGTTAAACTTCGTATTTTATTCAGCGGCTTCTACAAATCTTACGGCGATAATGCAATCGGCTATGACCAAATTAAAAGAGATGGAAAATTATGTACGGTAAAAGGTCGAGTTCTCTGGAGCATAAAGTACGTAAAGAAGGTTATCGTGTTACAGTTATTTTAAATGAAACGCAAAGCTTGGTTTAGTCCTGCCAATGTGAAGATTGTGCCACACTTTATCTAATTTTCGACGTCATTCTCCAACTGTAAAATTAAAAATATGTTATAGACAGGTTTTGTAAGTATTAGGTAGGTTACTAATGCGTTTTTACGAACAAGCAGATTAATTAAGCATATAACAAGTATATTCGCCGACTTACGTCAAAGTAATCTTCTCAGCATCGAATAATGGTCTTTGGAGAATAATTGTCATTTCTCTTCGCAGCTTGAAACCACTTTTTTTTCAGTTTTGGGTCAGAAATTCCAGTCAAAAACAATTTATTTGGGAACTTTGTTGAAGTAGATTGGCACAAAACATGAGTCAACACGGCTTTTTTTCGGAATATTAGTGGTATTGTTATTATCACATGATGTTGATGGATAGTACATTTTAAATTTTTCAAAAAATATTTCGAAAGTCGAAAAAATATGCAAAAGTATGAAAATTTAAAGCCAGCAACGAACAATTACGACCAGTGACAGACAGGAGTGACGTTATCGCATCCATAGGTTCGTTTTCGCGCGAAAATTTAAATTGTCAATTTAAAACCGCATTTTTCCGATAAATCACAATGTTTTAATTTTTTAATATATCTGTGGTTTATTCTACATGGAATTCTTTAAAATGAAAACAAAAATAAAAATATTGCATCTTCCCTATTGACTTTTAAAACAGAGTTTTCTGAGAGTTTTCAAATAAAATTACAATGAATATTAATAAAAAAAAGTTAGATTTAAAAAAAACGCTCATCTGATTTAATAACGTAATATAGTGTTAACTATTGTAAGTAAACAAATGGTCAAGTTGACAAATAGTTAAATTTTACTATTGATGAAACAACGGACCCTAAAAGTAAAGTTTAGAGAGGATGTCACCTAGCAACATAAAATAATATGTAATTTCTTACCATTGGTATATTTGGGAGGCCAGTAATACAAAATATCGGTGTATGTGTGAGCGTGGTAGCATCGTATACCGTCAAACTTCTGTCCGAAGCCGACAGAATAAAGCATTTCACGTCCTGAAAGACATTGCAAATATTTTTCAAACAATATTGTCAATAAGGGTTCCCGTGGCCTCGTCTAGTGCCGTTGTCTCAACCGTGCTGGTTGTGACCGTGGACCGAGTGAGGCGAGGGGCATCGTCAGGTTTTTAGTGGGTAGGGCCCCCCCCTCCTGGGCGGTCGCTGAGCTAGTCCCAGGACTGGCTGAGCGGACGGGCAGGACGGGTCGGGAGGAGTCCCACATAACCCCGTTGCCACTCCCAGGTGGCGTGGTATGCGTCATGCATTTTGCTGACGAAAAAAAAAAAAAAAAAAAAAAAAAAGGATGGCACAGGCCTTCCATAGGAATGAAATAAAGCCATAATCAACAACTTGAACCCAGTGCAGATTGGTGGGTACTAACGACTGCAAATGCAGCCAGACAGACTTAACATGCCTCCAGAAGCACGTAGGGATAAGAGACAATAAATATTAATTTATTTCCTAAGTTTCCACGCCAACGATATTAAATACGGTATTTAAAAAACGTCTTTTTATTACTAATAAATATATATTTTAATTGAAGCGAAGGCCCTCGCTTCGCTTCGGTATTTTATCCCCTTGGGGGTAGAATTGATCAAAATCCTTTCTTAGCGAATGCTTACGTCATAACATCTAACTGCATGTTAAATTTCCAGTGGTTTGGGCTGTGCGTCGATAGATCACTATGTCAGTCAGTCAGACCTTTGAGTTTTATATATATAGATAAATAGATTTAGAATTATAATTATTAATTCTAAATAGCTAAAAAAATAATAAAAAGACGATACGTTTAAGCGTGTTTCATTCAATAAATATTTGTTCACCCATTACATAAAAAAAAGCCAGCCTATTGACCAGCCATCGCGAAACTTGCTTCTACTCTCGCAGACAAAACGAGCTTTCTACTTGCGTCATAGAACTCTATAAGCCTTAATTATATAACTGGATTACACCCGAAAAGAAAAAGTGGAAAATACTCTAGCTACTAACTATCGTGATTAATGTTGATAAAAATTACTACCTGAGTAAATAATTAACATGATTTGAATTGATTTGAAACGCAGTGTTGGCAGGCCCCCCACAAGGTGGACCGACGATCTGGTAAAGGTAGTGGGAAGCCGCTGGATGCGGGCAGCATGGGACCGATCGTTGTGGAAATCCTTGGGGGAGGCCTATGTCCAACAGTGGACGTCTTTCGGCTGATGATGATGATGATGATGATGATGATGATGAATTGATAGACAGTCATAGTGTTAAAAACTAGTTTAATGTTATAGTATCGGAGCCAAAGCGGGGATTTTTGGATTTACTCGAGCGTATGGGTACCTAGTAAGTACTTCCACCATTCCTGAGCTTTCTATGTAGGGCCGAACGGTTAGGGCAGCAAAAAAATTTTTCAACAAACGGCCATGATTTTGGTCACATCCAAATCGTCAGTCTTTTGAATAGAAGCTACTTGAGGGTTCATGTAACTTTTCTTGGTCTTCCGCGGTTTGCATGGTATTGATGTGGCCGTACGAAGGGGTAGAATATAGGAAAAAAATCGAACGCGTAATGTAAACCTTCCAGTAGCTCCCATTCAAAAAACTGACAATTTGGAAGCCAAAAAAGTCATGGCCGTTTGTTGAAAAATTTTTTTGCTGCCCTAACCGTTCGGCCCTACATAGAAAGCTCAGGAATGGTGGAAGTACTTAACTAGGTGCAAGGTTGCCGCCCATATGTTATTCTGCCACGCTCGAGTAAATCCAAAAGTCCCCGTTTGAGCTCCCCTACTATTATGAACTTACACTCAAATAAATTGCATCGGTGATCCAAGAGCTTTTTACTCGTCGACGGACTCCAGTTCTGTGATAAAATACCTGGAATATAGTAAAATGTTCATCGATTAATTATTCTTTAACGTGAAAATACACCGAGCGCAATGAAAGACGACATCAGAGGGTAGATCGATATGTCTGCCAATAGCATCACCCGCAATTACGTCAGTTACTCACTGATCTTGGCGCTTGCAACAGTGCAACAATAAAAACCCCGTTAATAGCTATAATACAATACAAAAACTCTGTATTGTACATGACAAAAAAAACATTGAACATTGTACAAAACCATCTAGTACACGTGACGGAATGGGCGGCCTTATCGCTTAAAGCGATCTCTTCCAGGCAACCTTTGGATGGAGAGGATTAGAAGGAAGTGGGAGAGATGGCGGTGTAAATCGCTAGTAAACTCGCTGTAATGTTAGTGATCATGAAAGATTAAAACAATAAGAACAGCTTTATATTTTGATTTTTTTAATATTCTTTGAGAATTTATTATTATACTAGATGACCCAGCGAACTTCGTACCGCCCTAAAAAAATAGGGGTTGTCCAGCGGACAAAATTGTGAATCTAAACCATTCTCAGATCCCCTTGAACACACACAAAAAATTTCATCAAAATCGGTCCAGTCGTTTAAGAGAAGTTCAGTGACATACACACTCACAGAAGAATTATATATATAAAGATTGAAATTTGGATGGTTGTAATATTCACCAGACGGACAGGATGTTCAAATGTTTATAATTCCTGAACTTTGGGGCATCAGTGATACTGAAAAAGATAAACAAAATATTGTTTAGTATCCGATAAAAAGGTATTATAGAAAATATTACCTCATAGGAAGCCAGCAGCCGCAGTTCTCCACTGTAAATGCCGACTCGACCTCCCTTCGACACGGCCACGTAGCAAAACGAGTCGTCTTTCTCCACACTCACTAACTTCACTATGGTTTCCCTCTGAAACAAACGTTCTTATTAATGGGAATTACAATCTAAATCAGCATTAGGTCTCGACCTTCCTTTAACACGTATTATGGCAACTTTTGCCGAAGAAATGAATGAAAGATCAGGGAGGCTCGGCCTTTTATAGGTCCGGAACCATTTAAATTTGGACACGATTCGAATCGAACTAAAAAGAATCAAAGTAGGTAGTCTGTGGAGTTTGAATAGGCATAGACGTAGTTGGAGAGAGTATCCGTGTAATGGGTATCCATGGCAACGGATAAAAACATTAAGATGTCACAAATGTCAAGAAAATAAATAAACTAATTTATGCCTAAAAATAAATAAAATCGGAGAAATACAATAAAATTAAATAAATAACTGAATATAGAGAAATGCCGGTAAGTGTCCAGCACTCTGGAATAGTGATTTTAATAAGATGGGATTCTGATACCTATTTACGAAATAATGAATAGTGCCTGATATTTTTGAAATTGTGCGTTTCCAGTAATTAATAATTAAAGATAAAAAAGAAAAGTGTATAAACATGTTAAATAACCATGCTAACAGATGACAAAATGGAATCTATGAATACCAAAATAAAGGAAAGTCCCTGAGGTATGTTACACACGGCCTCTTAGCAGAACGAGTCCTCTTTCTCCACACTCACTAACTTCACTATGGTTTCTAGCTGAAACACAAGTTGTGATTGCTGGGGATTATAGATAAGAATAATTGTAATTAGCATTAGTCAAATAATATTTTTTCGGCTAATAAATAAATTTATGGACTTGTTTTGTTTTACTATTATGTAATAGGAAGATCATAATTAGAGAATGAAATTTTGAAACAAGCACTGCTTGGAATCTATGATACTAGATAATGTACAGAAACACCTTAAACTTTACTCACTTTAGTTAAAGGTATGTAACCTTTAACTAAAGTGAAAATTTCATGCTATTTACTAAAACAACTGCAACCTTTCATACACTAATCAGAATAAAGATTGGCCACATTCAAAGTACAATTAACTAACTACTTTTGAAAAATAAACAAGGGCTATACGTTGAACATAACATTTGTACCTTACAATGCTCCAATATTCTTATAGTCCCTTCTTTTAATTGTCTCCATACATCAGCCCTGGAGTTGATCTTATTCGACTCCATTATTGTCGTTTTTTGAAGAAAATTCTTAATGAGAAGAGGTTGAGGCAAAACATTTGTACCTTGCAATGCTCCAATCTTCTCTGGAGCTTGACTTCTTTGCATCTACAGCTACCACGTGAACGGACCAAGAAGACAGAACAGCTTCTGTGCGTGCATATAACAGAGTTAACAACATACCTACCTGGATAACCCGCTGACGCTACTGGTAACCCACAGACATAAAAGGAATACTAAAATTCTTGAGGGAGCTCGGATGGTAGGGCTGAAGCCATCCTTCACATGCAAAATAACCACCAATTGTCAAGTTGTGGAAAATACTCACCGTGAAGAAGAAGGGTTCAGGAGTTTAAACCGCTTGTGTACGTGGGCACTTAGAAACTTAAGAGAAACTAGAAAACTAACTTCTACACTTCACTAGCCTCTGTACAAAGTTTCATGCGTCTGAACCATTATTCAAATATTTTTTTCAAGTTTTATGCAGACACCTCTTCCACGGCCTTCTCAAACGCTGCTAGCGCTTCTTCCGGCGATGAAAACTGTATTACTTTGATCAGATTTTTTATTTTAGGGAATAAAAATAAGTCACACGGTGCCAAATCAGGACTTTAAGGAGGGTGTCCCAAGACTCTGACTGGTGTGGAGTCCAGGAAGTCAAAATTCAAAATTTAAAATATCTTTATTTAAATGGACTTTGGTAAGTACTTTTAAATCGTCAACTCCCTACCACAGCTTCGAGATGCAATAATTATTTCACTTAAATACCTAATTATTATGCTGCTTTGTCGGAGAAGAAGCGGCGAAAGAAACTCCACAGCTTACAATTTCGTACTGATCTTACAACATCATTACAGGTCAATAGTTACATCAAAAAATAATAATTAAGGTACTAAAAGTACAGTTTTAGATGCGTAAATTTTGGGCAGATTTTACTCCCACGCATTTTTATCATTCAAATAGTCATTAATTTTATAATAAGCTTTTTTATACAATATTTATAGTCTTTGGTATTGATGGCAGAGTGCGCGGGCGCGTTGTCGTAGTGAAGAAGGACCCCGCGGAGCCCGGTGTTAGGTCGCTTGTTGCTCATTGCAGAAAAAACTTTTGGCATGGCATACCATGTGCTATACCATTCGGCGTTGATGCTGCTATAGTCTCGAAGTGGAATTGAAATTAGGTACCCCATCAAAGTGAAGAAACTAGCGATCAAAATTTTCCCTGCGCTCCTCGATCGCTTCACTTTCGTAGTCGTTGGTTCATTTTGAAACAGCCAAACTATCGACTGACGCTTTGTTTCTAGATCGTATTGATAAATCTAGGATTCGTCACCTGTCACATTATCGTAAACGCGCCGTGACAAGCCTGCATAATTTTTTTGTATCATATCACTGCACCAATCCACATGGACCTGCTTCTGAGCTTCGGTGAGGTTGTGCGCCACCCAGCGGGAAACTATCTCCCTTACGCAAAGGTGCTCGTGCAAAATCTTGTGAACACTTCCTGAACCAATCTGCAGAGTATGCTGAATCTCTTCGTACGTAAACTTTCTTCGGTGACAGCCGTCGTAGGACGACCACTCCTTTGTTCATCCCCCAAACTAAGACCACGATTAAACTTGCTTCACCAGCAAGAGATGGTTGCTTTTGAAGGTCCTTCATCCATAAAAGTACTTCTAAATCGTTCAAATGACTCATCAGGTTTTAAGTGACATTTTTTTTTTCATAATATTTTTATTCAATTATTTACAATATGTCTCTTTAACTTTAAGTTACATTTAAAATCGTATAAAATGATAGCACGAAAATGTTCTCGATGCAGATCCATTTTTTAATGAGTCATGAAAAATTTCATTGGCTCTCGAAAAAATGCGGAGGAAAATTTGAAAATTCAGCGGTGTTATTTTTCCTTTAAATAATCGGAGTTTTCAAAATAATTACAAGGGGCCAGTGTCGTATACATAAAAACTTCTTTTCGCAAAATTTTCTGAGTGGCCTGGTATGTGCGTTGATAACTTGTAATGACCTGAATTATTAACATTTATATACCTTGTACCTTACAATGATCATACCTTCTTATATTCTTCTTCGCCTTCACAACCGTCATTTTGCTAAAGTTTCCTCAAGAGGTTGAGACAAAATATTTGTACCTTACAACGCTCTAATCTTCTCATTTCCTTCAATTGCCTCCATACATCCGCCCTGGAACTGATCCTCTTTTCCCCACAACCAACAAATGGTTGATGAGATACCGCCACCAGACCCTCTTGTTATGGCCAAGATATTGAACATTTACATAACATTTTTTACCTTGCAATGTCCCTTCTTTCAATTCCCTAAACATCCGTCCTGAAGGTGAACTTCTTTGATTCCACAACTGTCATTATTCTTGAGGAAAAGAGGTTGAGATAAACAAATTGTACCTTACAATGCTCCAGCCTTCTCATCGTCCCTCCCTTCAATGGTTTCCATACATCAGCTCTGGAGCTTGTCTTCTTCGCACCCACAGCTACCAAGCGGTTGATGAGCTGCCGCCACCACACCCGCCCGCTACTGAACGGGTCAAGAAGACGGAACAGTTTCTGTGCGTGCGTTGAGAACTTGTGATCACCTGGATTGTGAACATTTAGAAATATTGAGGACGTGCGAAGGGAGACCCGCCTCACGCAACGACATGAACTAAGATGAAACAAACCGATCCGAACTTTTTTTTAAAGCGAGGTAGGCAAATGATTCTACCCCAACTGTTAAGTCCAAACGCGAAGATAGCTGGTACAGCAGTTATAAACTGCTACATCAACCATCCTCACCTTGCCGCCGGCCTGCTAAAATGCTTCTTCACGCCTCTCTTAAAGGACCCCAGATTGTAGGAAGGAGGCTTTACGGGCGCGGGCAAAGAATACTTACGAATTTTACTTATTACTTATTCCACTTACGAATAGTACGACAAAGACATGAGTCACCAGCGCTAACGGACTTAGTTTTAAAATATACTTCATAAACAGTTCAAGTGTCAGATAATGTATCTTACTTTTTAAGCTTCACAATTCGGTTCCTTTGAACTGTATGTACGAGTATGTATATGGGTGAAGCTTGAGAGGCTCAATTTTTGCTTTCCAAATAAAATAAGTACCCGTAATATTAAAACAGGGAGCCAAATTTTTTTTTATGCTACTATAATGTATGATCTAGCTGAGGCACAATAATGATTGTATCTTATTTTGACAGAAATAGTAAAAAAAATATCCTAAAGGACATCCCCTGGCGCGTCCGCTTCACATTTTGTGGACAAACTACCAGCAAAACACCAAGTTATTAAAGGAAATTAAATATATAATGTGGTTTAAGGTATAGCAGATTAATAGTTGATTTATGAATAAATGTTATTTATGATATTAATGCGGTAACTTGCTTCTTACAAACGAGTAGGCGAATGTAAGCCCGAGAGGAATTCACGAGTTTGTAAATACTACACTCGAATATCATTAAACGTTTTCCAACACATTTGCCAGAAAACAGTATACATAATTTAAGTAATGAAGTAAACTTTTTCTTATATTTATATGAAAATGGCGTATATTTCTATATTTCCATAAGGCGTAACATGCGGGTTGTAAAAATTAGAACTACATCTTTTGTCTCTTTTTCTTAGTATTAAAGTGAGACAAAGGTATAAATTAAAAGCACTTCCATGGAGGTTCGATCGAAATTAAAAAAAAACCGTAAAGAATACGCACGGTCTGGAATTTTCAACATTCGCACAATGTATAAAACCCCCATAAATGTATTTTTCAAATGTTTTGAAAAATATACAGTGTATTTATTTTTCATAGTTTCATTTAGAAATTAGAATATAAAGTCTGTCCGGGGCTAAATGATGATTCCACTGTCGCGTTACGATAGTTCGCTTACACCCATTGTAACATGTTCTATACGAGTGCTCCCACATTGTTACGTGAGCTCTAGTAGTACTTCACACACTGCTGGGGTGTGCTGTGCTGTGTGCTGGCTAGATGATACCCCTGGTTTTGTTTCACTAGAATCACTAGATTATTGATTACCCTGGCCACTTTTCTATGCTATTTTACCAAGGTAATCTTTTTTTTTAAATCTTAAGTTTTTTTGTGTTAACTCCATGGAACAAATGTGTTTGCTTTAAATTATTTTTTAATAATAATAGGCTTTTTGGTTAACTCGTATAAATTATTATAAATTATATACGTATTTCTATTATTAACACGTTTTCATAGCATTTCGCCCATAAGTATAAAATAAGCTATTACTTAAACAAAAAGCATCGGGGGTGTTCGACAGTAATTTAACTAAAACTTTTTTTTTTAAGTTGTTTTCTGTATCTTTGGGTATATTATTTAAGAATAAAATACTGATTACTATGTTTTATGGTCACAAATCGATGATGAGCTCGATGGAGCAGGTGGTTAGCGTGTTCGGCTGCGATCGTTGTAGTTAAGCAACTTTCGCAGTGGTCGGTCATTGGATGGGTGACCAAAAATTTACTATCTCGAGCTCCTCCGTGCTTCGGAAGGCACGTTAAGCCGTTGGTCCCGGTTGCATGTGCAGTCGTTAGCACCCGCTAATCCGCACTGGGCCCGCGTAGAGGGTCATGGCCCAATCTCCCTATTCCATCCATAGGGAAGACCTGTGCCCCAGCAGTGGGGACATTAAGAAGCTGATGATGATGAAAACTTTCACATTTATAATATAATAAGGATATTATGCAACGATAATAAATACCCTAGATACACCAACACGAACAAAATCGTGCCTGAACATGGTGTTAGAGTATTTATTATCGTTGAGAATATGTCATTGTACTCACCGAATATAGTGTTTATGGCGTTGACGAAGCCGTCTTCGTCGAGACATAGGGCGTGCTCGGATACAGTCGCAGGCGCAGCGAATTCTATTCCTTCCTCTGCAGCCGCCGCGCGCATCACTTGCTCTACCCTTCTGGAACATTCGTCATCGTTGTATCGAACGGGTATAAAATCAAACTCCTGGTTCAATCTTAGATTAAAACAAAAAGGGTAGATACGGTACGCTCATACTTGCATCAAACAAAAACTGATCCCACGGCAGTGCGAACAGGACGGCGAGATCCGCGTCACTGCATTACCGACCCGAACGAAACAGCACGTTAAGTTACAACTGCAGCGCGAACGAGACGGCGAGATTCGCGTCACTGCACTACCGACCGATCACGCGACCAGTACTCGACGTCAGTACCGAATAAGATTCAAAACAAACAGCAATTTTTATGAAAAAATATATTTTATAGTACTTACGAATAAAAAGTGATGCCGTGGGTTTTATTTCTAGTTCTCGAGCAATTTGAGCACTTTTTAAAAACAAACTTAGGCATTGTTTTATCATAAAAACACAAAATATTAGCAATATTTCTTTTTGGCGTTCACATGAACGTCGTTTGCATGGCAAGTTGTGATTGTGACTAAAGCGATTAGGGTCGTGGACCACAATTCATGCGGATCACTTTTGTAAGGCTAGTGCCGTATCTACCCTTTTTGTTTTAATCTAAGGGTTCAATGCAGTACTCTATAATCAGGGCCGTACCATTACGATTTGCGCCTCCCCTCCCCCCTAGTTTTGTTATCTCTGTTGTGGTGGCAACTGGGCCACAGCCACGCAAACAAACAGCTTCACAAGTACTCGTAACAGCCTAGACTGAATGAATGATTTTTGCGTTTGAATCCCGTCTGAATCCAGACAGAGCGGACATTTTTGTAGTAATATTTTCTTTATACTATTATTACCTGTCTATATCGTTCGTGTGATTCTTATCTCGATTCTTCTTGAAGCTACGTCTCAACTTGCTGAGGACCGCTGGGGTCATTTTGTGCATCAGCTCCCGTGCTAAGCATTCGTCTTCATCGTCACTGTGATGAGGAGTAGAGAAAAAGTAAAAAAAAAACAAGAAATAAGGTAAAAAGTACATGTGTGTGTATGTGGGATGAGTGCACAACTCTAACCCGATGGACGAGTACGAAAGTTGGAGGATAACTCGGCGAAGACTTAAAATACATTTTTCCGCAGCCAGTCGGGAAGGAGCCTGCGTAGTAGCAATTTTACCTACAAAAACGTCTACCGCGCATATTATTTGTCTGTGGTTTTGTTCAAGAAGTTTGCCGCTACCTAGGTATCGTTTCGATTGTCAACACTCATCAGCTTCGTTTACATCTCTCGCAATGAATATTTTACATAAAAAATCTAAATACTCAATCTGATAGCTGATGTTCGTCTTGGTCTGCAATCTCTCCCTCAAGTTTTATTTACGCGACGCAAAGAATCTTATTATGAACCTACTCCGAGATCACATCACAGCGGCAATCACGGTCGATCATTGCCAATTATGGACAAGTACAAGCACGTATTATGCCTTCCACACTTTCATGATCGCCTGTATACCATCCATCATGGCCCATGATGTAGAGGACCCATAACTGAATACCAAAATTCATGGAAATCGATTCAGTGAGTTTTAGGCGTGAAAGCGTACTTACGTAGATAGAAAGACGGGAGTCCTTTCAATTTAACTAAAATATATCTTTTCAAATGCATACGGACTGGCTGCTTTATCGTCAATGCTTTAAAAAGTCGGTTGCTTTGTTTTAATGGAAGAAGTCCCGGCTTATGGGAAATAAAAATGTTCGGTCACTGAACAGAGTGACATGATAATTAAATTGATAATTCTAGTAAATATTGTGTGATTTGAGCATTTGAAAAAATAATAATTAGTGCATGTACAATTAGAGTTTTAAATTTAATTTTAAAAGAATGAAGTTGCATAAACATGTAAAATAGTTTTAGTTCGCGTTTGTGCTGCGCTACTCCTATAATAGTTAGTAAGTATTCTCATTGTAAATGAACTTTATGTTTTTATGAGATTAAATTATGTAAACCTAAGTGAGGATAAAGGAAAGGGTCTTCGTACTCAATGTAATACTCTGGTATTGAAAACGTATCCATCAGGCGGACCATAAACTAAAATGTCTACCAAACTTTTTACAAAAATATATCACTTACCATGAGAAACTCTCCTCCGAAGCGCTTCGAAAGGAATAACTTTTATCTATTATCTCTGAAGATTCTTCGTTAAGAGATATTTGTGAATCTACAAACATTTTCAAGTGTTACTTTAAATATTTTTGTGTCTAATGTTGGATCAATTTTGAAGTTCTTTGTAGCACGTTGCTACGGAATATTACCACAAATACCGTGTAGAAGCGCCATCTAGTGGCGAATAGCGAGTTCAGGTCAAGAAAAATACTTGCTAACCCTCTCATAGCACATGCTTTCGATGCACAATGAGTATTGAAAATGACAATAGATGTCGCTACTCTCATTCTCAGCTTTTATTTCTGTGTGCTTATAAAGCTGTGATGATTTCAGGAATTTCATGTCTAGTAGATAATGTTATTGTGATAAAGTTCTTAATTTAAATTAAGACTATCGTGTCTATGACATTATTCCATCTTTTTAATGGGGTACCTCTTTGACAAGTTTTAGAAAACGATCTCACGTTCTTTACTGTTTATAGAGTCTTTGGCAAATATCACTGTTGGCTTATACGTCACCACTTTACCTATGTATGGTTAGGGTCTAATGTGGATGTAAATAAAAGCTGTTATAGTTAATCACTGACTGTTTATTCACTTCACCAATGTTCATCTAAATTACTCTGACTCCAAAATAAAAAAGTTTGTTTTTAATTCTGTTGTGTAATTCAGTTAAAAAAATCTAAATTAAAAATTCAATTTTCAAGTTGGCGCGAAAACTTTTCTCTTGGCATAATGGCGTCTCACTAGTAGGAAGTTTACTAGCGTGTGACGTCATTTTAGTCTTGGCCAATCCCAGACGTTTTCGGTCACGTGACCATGGAGCAAAAATCTTTTGTAAAGTTATTAATTATTTGTTCTCTCAGAATAGTAAAGTTGCTGCTGCATATTAAATACAGATGTCAACAATTCGTACATTATTTTTCATACTGTCGAATAGCCTATTGTTGACAGTCAAAAAGAGAATGAGGCTTTTACATGATTTGCTTAAACCATATTTGAATAACTGAAAACTATGGAGGAGCTCGATGATGCAGGTGGTTAGCGCGTTCGCAGTGATAAAGAAAAAATATATAAAATCACTAGCTGACCCAGCGAACTTCGTACCGCCATAAAAATAGGGGCAGGTGGTAGAAGAGAAAATTTAGGGTTGTATGTATTATTTAATAGCACATTATAAAAAAATAAATGTTGTCCAAAAAAAATTTTAGGGGTGTGTAACGTAGTGTTCTATCAATTTCCTGGGATAACATTCCTCCTAACCCATATGAGAACACTACGTTACAATACCCAATAGTTTGAATTTTGGCGCGAAGGCGCATTGTTGGTTTCAGAACACTACGTTACAGGTGGACAACCATTATCACTTAATGATATGAAAAATAGATAGTAGCCCATTCTCAGACCCACGGAATATGCATATAAAATTTCATAAAAATTGGTCAGGTCGTTTCTGAGGAGTATGATAACTAACATTGTGACACGAGAATTTTATATACTATAAGTTTATTCAGACGACGCATCCTCAAAAGGATGCGAAACGTTAATAAATAAATAAATCAGTGCATCTATACCGTTGAAACTTGATTTATTTATTGTAGAAGCGACTAAATGTTAACTTTGGAAAACGCAGAGTCTAAGTATAGTAGAGGGTATGAAATAAAACATCAGGACTTTGAACATTGTCTATTTTATTGTATGTATGTATAATAATACTTATACAACTAATATAATGCGTACCTATATTAATACTAAAAGTACGGTATACGGGCGAGCGAATCATAGTAAATACTTAATTATGTATTTTTCTTTAAGCTAATAATATTCACTCAGTCCTTTACTTATTCATTAAAATGAAATATCAGATCTGCATATCGAAATTTGTAAATAACATAAATCTTTAGTTATAAAACCAATCTTTTGCAATAAAAAAAAACTTTACATTTTTAAACACTTATTAAACTAATTAGATCCCAATTTAAAATAAAGTAACATAATAATTTTATAATGAAAGGACGGAACAAAAAATGGGATCTGAAAGCAAATAGGAACTATCAACCACTTTCTACTACTGCCCATTGAAAACAAAAAAAAATCTGGAATAATAAAATTAACAGTGGCCGCAAGTTTCCGAAAATAAAAATAAATATTTTTATGTTTTTGATTTATTAATGATTTCAATTAATTACCTAACTATACATAGATTTACACACGAATAACGCTTTGGAATGAGTTACTCCGTACTTAAATGCATTACACTCAATGTTGACGCCATTTTTTCAATGTGAATAAATCTGACCGTTTCGTCCCATATTGATTTCGCAATAAAACAAAATTAATTAGAAACGGTTTAATTATCTTATTACTACTTATTACTTTGATAGCACAAAATTGACTTTTTATATAGGTATTCATGATATTCTATATGTCTCTTGCGCCATGAATGATTTGAGAAGAATGAATGTTTTTCATTCGCAAAAATCAATAAACACAAATCAGTTTTTTAATTAGTACGGAAAGTCAAAGGGAATTTAAAAAAAAAACAACATTCATACTCAAAAAAAAAATAGTACAAAACAATTTCGATAGAATTACAAAATTTTTACATCGTTAAATTCCCTAAAATATGTTTTCCGTCATTAAATATAAAAAATGGCGTCAAAATATCTACTCTGTCTTTCTTTCATACACTTGTTTTCCATTCATACGCAAAAAGTACTTATTTTGGCTGTTTATTATCTAAATCACGTTAATGTAGCTTTTAAAATAGGATTTTATTGATATATTTAAATTCCTTACATTTCAAAAATAGTTTATGAATAACTGCAATATAAATTAAAAAAGGATTTCATACGTTTTTGAAGTTTTCAGGAGTTGACAAAATTTAGTATGCCTGTAAACAGTTTTTGACATCAAAATAATACTAATACAAAAAGTAAAAGGATACAATATTTATTCGTTTTTAAAATGTAAGGAAATTTATCCTACACTGAAAGTTGAAATTGTTTAAAAAACCAATTAGTTTAATATAATCTAAATCGTTTGATACCACAATTTATTCTTAGTGGTGGATACACTGAATCTTTATTTTTACTTATAATTATTTAAATATAACTTTATTATATCACCTATAAATAAATAGTTTACGACTAATAAATCATTAACTTTATTATTGTACGAATGCGTATACATGTATTTTCTCGAATACAGCTCAATTTTATTTTTTTATTAACTATCCCAAATAGTTATACTATCATTGTCACCTCTAGGAGCGAGAATATAAGAAAGAATCCATCGTCTTTAAAGATCGATAGTAAATATTTTTGTAGCATTGAATGAAAAAAAATTAAAGAAAACAATTTCCATATGGATAAAAAATATAATTACTCACATGCATATCTTTTTTCAATGAAAAGCAATCCTTTATTTTTAAATGCCGTAACACAAAAAATCTTGTTTATTACACATACATTTATTACAATTAATAATGGTAATTTTTATTGACAATGCTATGAGACGAATTTCCTTGCATTGACAAGATGTATTGAAACAGTATATGATGCGTCGCCAGCCAGGAGATATAAAACAATTTACATCATAATAGTCTACCCAAACTAATTAATTAACCCAAATTAACTAATTGGATAGTAGAGTAGAAGTAGTGAATGCCGGTTGTTTTAATGTTCTGAAGGTAGTCGTCGCAGTTGAACGATAAGTAGGGGTAGGGTACTGGAGGTCACCAATCCGAATAGCCGGATAGACCAGCCAGTTTGGCCAGACATTCCAGCCAGTTTGGCCGGACAGACCAGCCAGTTTGGCCGGGCAGACCAGCCAGTTTGGCCGGATAGACCAGTTAGGCCGGACATTTGGGTAATTACATACAGGTCGACCTAATAAAAGCGTTTTAAAAAGGCCGGACACCCTACATTATTAAGGATTTTGGTGCTCAGTAATATTAGGTACGATAAAAAAAAATATGTAAAAGCGACCGACAGTTAAATCGCTTGCGCTTGGCCATGCTCGGCGCTCGCTCGTTTGCGAAATGTAAAAAGCCTAACAAAGCCGGACATTTTGGCCAGATACGCAATCAAAAAGCCTAACTATGTCCAGCTTTATCCGGACGCCTGACAACGCTAAGTAGGAGCAATGTCTACAGCTGGTGTACTTAGTGGCGTAACCAAACTCTTGCATCCAATGGCGTAATAAATACTGGTGGTGCTCTACAGGTCAAAGGAGTTAACTTAATGTATAGAGATTGATTCCAAAGTAGGTAGAATGACTAAAACTGTGTAATGTACTTAATAGAGATATTGAAGATAGATATCGAATGGCGTAGTAGTTACGGTAGTGTGGATTGAATATCGCAGCAATTACTGTACTAATGTTTAGTAGAAAGGATCGCGCATCGTAATTAATTCCAAAGTTAGTACAATGACTACAGCTAGTTTTATGTATTTTATGGAGAAACTCAACATTTTTATGAAATATCGTAACAAATGCCAGCTGATGTGATGTTAGACTTGTGTATCTGAAGGCTTAACGTAACTCTTTTATAGAATGGCGTAACAAATTCCATTCCTTTTTTTTAGTCATTCTTTGTTTTTAAGTATCCGGGGCGATGATCGGGGCGTGTTCAGCACATAAGACTGTGGGCGTTGAAGTTGTGGTGTAAGTATGTAGAATTATTACAACTAGTTTTAAAGTAGGTCAGCTAGTTTTATGTAGTAAACTTATTACGTGTAACCCAATTCTTTTATTGAATGTCCAACTGTTATGATCTTAAGCACCCGGGGCGATGGTCGGGTCCGGGGTCAGTATACTGGACTATGGGCGTTATAGTTGAGCTGCAAGTATGGAGTAATGGCTATGGCTAGTTTTATATATCTTAAAACGTAAACCAACTCTTCTATTAAATGTGGTGATGCTGTAATATTTGGTAAACCCAATTCTTTGGTGAACGTAGTAAAAAAACTATTCTTTTTTGATTCATTTTTTGTTGTTTACTATCCGGGGCGATGGTCATGGCGGGGTCAGTACGCAGGACTATAGGCGCCTTAGTTGAGCTG